CCTACCTGCTGTGCTATCACTCCAGCCTAGACTGAGCATGATGGCCACTTAATTGCAAACCACAACACCCAAAAGGACTGAGAGAGAGAGCGAAAGGGAAAGCTCCTACCACAGAGGCCGGGGTGGGAGGGGGGTGGAGGGGATGGGGGGTGGTGGGAGGGATACTGGGAACATTGGTGGTGGAGAATGGGCACTGGTGGAGGGATGGGTACTTGATTATTGTATGGCTGAAATGTAAGCATGAAAGTTTGTAAGTCTGTAACTGTACCTCATGGTGATTCACTGTCACTGTCACTGTCCTCCCGATTTGCTCCAGCGGGCCCAGTAACATTGTGAGACTTGTTACTGTGTTTGACATATCAGATACATCACGGGTGGCTTGCCAGGCTCTGCCATGCAGGCGAGATACTCTCGGTAGCTTGCCGGGCTCTCCTAGAGGGACAGAGGAATCGAACTCGGGTCGGCCATGTTGGCTGCATGCAAGGCAAATGCACTACCCGATGTGCTATCGCTCCAATCCACTAAAAAAACCTAAAATTTTATTTAAAAAAAAAAAGGCAAATGCCATGCCTTTCCTTCTGTACGAGCTCTCTAGCCCAAGTTTTTGTTGGTTTGTTTGTTTGGGGCCACACCTGGCGGTGGTCAGGGCTGACTCCTGGCTCTGCACTCAGGAATCACTCCTGGCAGTGTTTGGGGGACCCTCTGGGATGTCGGGGGTCAAACTCCAGTCTGCCCCTTGCAAGGCAAACACAGTACCCACTGTACTGTTGCTCTGCCCCCACAATTTCTTTCTTTCTTTCTTTCTTTCTTTCTTTCTTTCTTTCTTTCTTTCTTTCTTTCTCTCTCTCTTTTTCAGCAAAGGAAGGGCCCCGAACCAAAGTTCCTAGGAAGAAAGTAAGTCACCTCTAGCCTGGCCACAGAAGCCACATGGTCACCGCTGAGACACACACCTGAGGCTTTGCAACCTCCCTGCTCATGCGGGGTCCTGGAGCCCCCCCAAAGCCACACAGGCAGTACTGGGTGGGTAAGCAGAGCCCCTCTCTCTTCCCTGGGAAAGGGGGTCAGCTCGGGGTCTTCCTCTTCTGTTTGGAGCGTGCAGAGCGCAGGGTTTCACAGTCTTGCAGTCGCCGATCCCAGCCTTCCGGTCCTGTCACCTGATTTCTTCATTTCCTGTTTCCTCTGGGCGCTGACAGTGAAGTAGTGACTCTTCTTCACCCTCCCTTAGCTTGTCCGTGGGCTGGTCCTGTGGGTGGCTTTATCTGGGGTGTCTGCCACAGGGGAGTCAGGGCCACAGAGCCAGGAGGGAGGCTGCAGGCTAGCCGGGCCCCAGCACCCTGGGGTTACTCAGTCCTCATCCCATGCTTCTGGAACCTCCTTTGCAAGTCTGAGGAAGGCCCCAGGCTAGGACTCAGGTGCTGAGCACTGACGTGGCAAACTTCCTCTTTATAGCAAAGAAGAAGAAAAAAGCAGAGAAAAGGGGCCCGAGAGCTAGTGCAGAGGTGAGGCAGACCGCAGCAGAAACCAGCTTCGAATCTGCTGCACCGCCCAGGACACCTTCAGGGTCGTTCCTGAGCACAGAGCCAGGAATAGTCCCTAAATGTCACTCTCGCAAAACAGAAGTGAGAAAAATTTCTGCCAGGAAAGTTGGGGGCTCGGGGACGGAGGTTCAGAGCTGGAGAGAGCAGAGGCTGCACACTCTTGGTGTCCCCAGATCAACCCCTGAAAAAAAATTTTTTTTTGCTTTTTTGGGTCACAATGCACAGGGGTTCCTCCTGGCTCTGCACTCAGGAATTACCCCTGGCGGTGCTCAAGGGACCCTATGGGATGCTGGGAGTCGAACCCGGGTTGGCCGCTTGCAAGGCAAACACCCAAACCACTGTGCTATCGCTCCAGCCTCTGAAACTTTTTGAGGGGGGTTGGGGGGCAATGCTCGGGGGCTTACTCCTGGCTCTGCAGTCAGTATATAAGCTGTGGAAGCGAGTGGCTCTATATTCAGGAATCACTCCTAGCGTGCTCGGGCGACCATGTGGGATGCAGGAACCCCAAGTCAGGGGCTCCATCATTTCTGCAGCCCCTTAAACATGTACACACACACACACTGAAAATAGAAAACCTTGAACCTGGAGGTAGGAGGGTTCCTAACCTTCGTTTTACTCTTTCCTAGCGGGGGGCACATGGAACAAATCCCTTAAAACCACAGGATCCGGCTCCTGACCTGGGAAACGGGTAGAAATGTGCCTGGCTGTTCCTGGCCGTTGGGACAATGACACAAGCGCGGGGCATTCAGCAAACGGTCAACTAGGGCCACCAGAACCCCCGCGTAGGGCTAAGCACTGCTGCCCCTCCGGGGTCTACTACCTCCCCGCTCCCACTTCCTCCCGGGTGGAGGCTGCGTCCCGAACCATCCTCGGTCACTAAGGTCCTACAGCACCCAGGTCTTGTCCAGGCGGGCGCAAGGAGGCACCCCCGGTGCCAACTCCGCCTCCGACCCAAAGGTCGAGCCCGACTAGGCTCCCACGGCCCCGCAGCGCGCCCGCGGCCGCGTCTCCCACGCGCGCAGCCGGGCGGGGCGCGCCGGGGCCCACGCGGCGGGCGGGGCGAGCCGGGGGGCCTTTGTGTTCAAACCGCCCAATGGGCGGCGCCGGGGGGCGGGGCGGCGGGCGGGGCCGGCCCAATGGGCGCGGCCTGTCAGCGCTGAGTGACAGCCGCACACATACACAGCGGGCCACGCGCGCCCGCCCGGCCCCACTCTCGCCGCGCGCTGGTGCGCGGGTCGCATTGTCCGCCGCCCGCCGCGCGCCCCGAGCCGTCGCGGGATCCCGACGCGGGGAGGGGGGTCGCGCCCCGCGGGCCCCAGACGCCCCCCGATCGCCTCGCGCGCGCTCAACTGCCTCCGAGCAGGTAAGAGACGGCCGCGGCGGGGGCCGCGGGGATGGACAAGCGAGGTGACTCGGGGTGGACAGTCCCGCCCATCTCCCCGCGCGCCCCGGCTCCGCCGTCACCCCGGGACTGGACCGGCGAGAGCCCCAGCGGTCCGGGCCTGGTTCTCCCTCCCGGCGCACCGGGCTGGGCCAGGCTCCCGCCCCGCTTGGCGCACGCCCCTGGGCCGCTTGCGAAGGGCCAGCGCCGCCGTGCCAAGGCCGGCCGGCCTGACTCATCCACCCGGCCGGCCCCCGCCCCCAGGGCCGGCCGCACCACTGGTCAGCCCGGAGGGCGGATGTGTCCGGGCGGGACTTCCCCCCGCGGCACCTCCCAGGAGGAGGGCGCGGAGCCCCAACTGCCCCAAACCGGCCCCGGGCAGTGCCCGCGCGATGTCCGTGCCAGGCGCGCGCGCGCGGGGACAGGCAGTTCTCGGCTGCCTCTCAGGACGCTCGGCTCGTTTTGTTCTAAACAAAAACCAAACCCAGCCCCAGGGAGGGCGGGAGTGTGACTTAGAGCAGGGCGAAGAGGAGGAGGAGGAGGAGGAGGAGGAGGAGGAGGAGGAGGAGGTGGCGGAGGAGAGAAGGAGGAGGAGGAGGAGGAGGAGAGAGGTGGAGGGGGCATCTCCGCAGGACTTGGAGGGAGCAGGGAGTTCGCCCTGGACGCGGTGTGCAGGTCCCGGGCAGGGGTGAGGCAGCCCCAGATCTGGGTCAGGACTGACTGGATCCCCGCGGGGGGGCCGTGCAGGGCGGAGCTGGGCCGCGGATGTGGCGGAGCTGGGAAGTGGGCGGGATTTTTGAGGGGTTCCTCCCCGGCTGTGGGGGGAGGTGTGTTCGATGGAGATTCACCTCTTGTGCGGAACTGCGAGGGCGGCACCGTGACTCCCCCCTGAGCTGACCCTGGCACCTGGGGTGCCCCGTGACGGCCTCCCACACCCACCCCGAGTGCCTCCTCGCGGCAGCTGGAGCGCACCCCAAACCTGCTACCTGGTTGGCGCCGGGAGGCAGCTCCGCGGGGCAGGGGTGAGGGGGCGGCGGCTGTGTGGGCATCTGGAGCTCTGGCAGGGTGGCACGGCCTTATAAGGAGCGCCAGCTCGCTCCTCAGGCCTTTCCCATTCCGTCCTTCAGCCTGCACAACCAAGAAACGCAGGCGGGTCATCCTACCTGGGGAGACGCTAGTTAGACCAGGCATGAGGCTGCTTGTTTGGCAAAAGACAACTTTCTAGAATTCTCCAGCTGGACGAACCAGACCTTCTGGTTTGCACAGTCAGAGCTGGGCTGCGGCCGCGGCGGTGCCCACCGGCAGGGGCATGAGCGGGGCCAGCCTGGCGCCGGGGCTTGGGCCGTTGAAGGCGCACGCGAAAATCACGGGCCTCTCAGCTGGCCGCTGCCTGCCCCTTGGCCTCCTGGGAGTCGGGGCCATGTCCCAAAAGCCCAGCTCCCGGGCACACATGCAGAGGTGGCGTTCGCTGTAACCCCACACTGCCGAACCCGCGTGGGTTGGGTCATGCCCCTGGCCGCATCCCGTCCTGCTGCCCAGCACTGCCCGTTCCCGAGTTGACTGGAAAACCTCCTGTTAGAGTGCAGGGTCCCCGCTGGCCAGCAAACGAAGTGGAGGGTGTCTCCTGGTGGGCTGCGAGTCCAAGCAGATTCCTTGGGTGGGGGAGTCCCCCTCTGGGGGGGTTAGGGGGCATCTCACTGTCTTCACTGAGCCCAGCCTAGAGTGGGGTTTGCCAGGAAGGAGGTTCTGGGGGCAGAACGTGGTTGGGGTCGAAGAAGAGGGTCAGGAGCATCACAGGGGTGGGGGGTGGTGTCCTCTGAAGGGAACAGCTAGAACAGGGTCAGCAGCGGCCTCAGGGGAGAGCACAGCGTGGGGTGTCCCGGGGCAGAAGGCCCAGATTCACCCCTGGGAGCAGGGGGCGGGGTGAGCTAGGGCAAAGAGCATCCTGGGGGCCGCCCCGAGAGCACCCCAAGCCCGGGCTTACGTGAGCCCCATCCTGGGGGGTGTGGTTGGGTGTCTGCACCCCACTGGAGGCTGGCCTCACAGTCTCTGCCTCACAGTCTCCCCATTTATTTTCTCAGGCAAGGACCCCCGCCTCGGCCACCATGTCCCGGCGTAGCCAGCGGCTGTCACGCTACTCCCAGGGGGACGATGACAGTGGCAGCAGCAGCGGCGGGAGCTCCGTGGCGGGGGCCGCGACTCCCCTGTTCAAAGACAGCCCCCTCAGGTAGGGGGGGTGCCCGCCCCCGGGGAGAGCTTGGGGCTGCGTTTCTCTCCCTGATTTACCCCATAGGCCGCCAGGATAGTCCAAAGGGCCATTGGCGAAAGCCGTGTCCAGTGGGGGTTGGGGTGTGGGTGGCACAAGACGAGGGGGGCCCCCGGAGGACGTGGGGGGGGCACAGGAAGGAAGAGAAGGTGGGAGGAAGTTGAGAAACGCTCTGGTCTCGGGGCCTGCCCGCCTGTACTGGCCGGGCCACCGCCCTCTGGTTGAGAAAACAGGAAGCAGGGAGCAAGCCCAGGGGGAACCCCTGAAACTGTCAGTTGGGGGTGCCCTTCTCACCGCCCCCAATGCCGGCCAGTCCCCCCGGCGTTTCTCCCCTCCCCGTACAATCCCGCAGGGCCCACCCAGCCGCTGCAGGAAACTGGCAGGCTGGGCCCCTGTTTCCCAAGGGTCAGTGCGTTTTTCGGTTGGGGCACAAAAGTTGGGGTCCGAGAGGAAGTGGGAGGGGTTGGCAGGGGAGGCGGGCTGGGACGCGGCCCCGCTGCCCTCCTGGGCTCACCTGCCCGGCGTGGCCGTGGGGTCCCCCTTTGCACAGGACCCTGAAGAGGAAATCGAGCACCCTGAAGCGCCTGTCGCCCGCGCCCTCGCTGGCCCCCGCCACGGACTCGCACACGTCCTACTACAGCGAGTCCATGGTGCGGGAGTCCTACGTGGGCAGCCCGCGCGCCGTGTCGCTGGCCAGGAGCGCCCTGCTGGACAGCCAGCTGCACAGCGACCCCTACTGGGGTGAGTGTCGCGGGCCCGGCTTCTCCCTGCCAATCTCCTGGGGGTCGGGGGTCCTCCCAGGAGGGGCGCCCCGTGCAGGGAACCCCAGGGAGCGCGGTGGGGCGTGTGCGCCCCCCTCCCCAGGCCCCTGTATGCGATGCGATGCACGGTGCAGGGGACGGGCGAGGCGGGGCAGCGCTCCTGGGGCGAACGGAGAGGCCCGGGCTGGGCTCGAACCCCGGGAGCGGGCACCTCGCGTCCTCGCCTCGCAGAACCCCGCCTGCTCCCCACCCCCGCAGATGAGGACTCACGGGTGAGGCGGCGCAGAGGCACGGGCGACACGGACAGCAGCAAGATCAACGGGCTGGCGAGGACCAAGGGCGCCGAGGACTTCCTGGGGTCCTCCTCGGGCTACTCTTCGGAGGACGACTACCTGGGTAGGCACCTGGGGGACGGGGCGACCCCGCCCCCCGCGGGACGACGGGCTTGGCAGCGGGCCGTGATGCGCGCGCGGGCGTGGCCGGGAGGGGGCGCCCCGGAGCCGGCCGCCCTCCGCTCAGGTGGCCCCTGCGCAGAGGCCGGGCTAAGCTGGGGACCACCCCCACCCCCACTGTCCACTGCAGGCTACACGGAGACGGAGGCGCGCAGCTCGGGCTCGCGGTTCCGGAGCGCCTTGTCCCGCGCCGGCTCCGTGGTGTGGGCGGTGGTCACTTCCCCAGGTGAGTGCTTCGGAGTCTCCTCGTTACCTCCAGGCCAAGCCTGTTCTAGAATGATCCCTGGTGGTGGTGGGGCACTTGGAAGGGCAGGTTCGGCGGTGGCTCGTGGTTAGAGCAGGTGGCTTGTCAGGGAGGTGCTCCGGGAGGACCAGCAGGAGGAGGTGGGCATCACGGAGCAAGCTGGGGTCACCCTGGACACGCTGGTGCCCCTTTCTTTCAGGCCGCCTCTTCGGGCTCCTCTACTGGTGGGTTGGCACCACCTGGTACCGCCTGACCACCGCCGCCTCCCTCCTCGACGTCTTTGTTTTAACCAGGTCAGTGACATCCCCACCTTGAGGTGGTTCAGCGAGGGGGGTCCGGGAGGCGGGTCAGGGGAGCTGCCCATCAGGGTTCCTCCGAAGGGGTCCCGGTTTATTGCCCACTTCTTCCCTGGAGGGGCAGGGGCACCCCCCGAGTCAGGTCTGACCCCTGACTGGAAAGTGTGTGCGGGGAATGTTCTAGAACGCAGGCCCCCTGCTGAAAACCAGCCCAGCTCAGCTCCTGCTGCTGAGGCCTCCGTCTCTTGCCATGACGTGTTTCCAGAAAGTTCCGCTTCCTTCTCAGTCCTATGATGACCGAAGCCTGGACTTGTCCCTTGAGAGCCTCTGTCCAGAGAACCAGAGTGTGGGAAGTGCCCTGGGCAGGGAAGTGGGGGTGGGGGGGTCTGGCTATGCCCAGGGGAGCAGACAGCCAGCCGAGAAAGGGCAGGGAACATTCACAGCCCCCCAAAAAACAGCTCCCGGTTCCCCCAAAGCAAAGCCAGTTTCAGGAGTTGTGAATTATTATGGGAGTTGCACTTATTTCCTGGGTTTGCTTATTTCAAGTATCTCTCCATAGGGATATTCTGACATTTTAGTGACCCCAGTATTTTTTCTTTTATAAGATTAAAATCCAGAAACTTCAGGGCCCAGAGGGATAGAACAACGGGTAGGCTGTTGGCCTTGCATGTGGCTGACAAGGGTTCGATCCCCGGCATCCTACATGTTCTCTTGAGGCCACGGGGGAGGGGGGGGCCCTGACTGCAGAGCCAGGAGCAAGCCCTGAGCCCCGCTGGGGGGGGCCTAAAAACAAACAAAAACAAGAAAAAAAGGGGGGAGAGAGGGGAAAAAAATGAAAATTCAGAAAATGAGGATTGTTCCCTAAACCCGAATATCTGAAGGTAACGCCCTGGTCTGGCCCTCTGCAGCTTTTGTGCAGCAGTAAGGGATGCCAGAGGCCCTCTGGGCCCAGCCCAGCTCCCCTGACAGTGCTCCCCCCTCCCCACTCTCCTCCCCGCCACCCCCAGGCGCTTTTCCTCCCTGAAGACCTTCCTCTGGTTCCTCCTCCTGCTCTTGCTCCTGACCGGCCTGACCTACGGTGAGCGCCCCCGCGTGGCAGGGGAGGGTAGGACATGCATCTGCACAGAAGTGGGGTTGTACATGGGTTTGGGGGGCTGGAGTGTGGGTGGAGAAGGGCCCTGAGCACAAACCCAGAGAAAGCTCAGCTGCAGGAAAGAAAAAGGTCACTGGGGCCAGAGACATAGTCGAGAGGGCAGGGCGCTTCCCTTGCATGTGGTCGACCTGGGTTCAATCCCCAGCACCGCCAGGAGTGATCCCTGAGCACAGAGCCAGGAGTAAGCCCTGAGCTCTGCTGGGTGTGGCAAAACCAATGCATAAGCATTATATACGCATTGCATATATATATATATATATATATATATATATATATGTTTAACCCCCCGCCCAATCTCATGGTGCTATAGGAGATGTCTTTTGGCAGGGGGGAGGTTGTCGCTATATTCAGCAGTGCTCAGGGCTTACTGAGGAACCATCTAGGGTATCAGAGATCGAACCCAGGCCTGCTGCATGGAAAGCAAACACCCTGCTTGCTGTAAAATCTCTCCGGCCCCAGGAAACACCATCCTGAACCCCCTACCCTGAATCCTTGTAGCAATTTATTATGAAAGATCACACTTTTTGTGTTGGTTTTTGGAGTTGGTCTCAGTGTCCACACAACTTGGAATCTATATTTATACCAAAAGGAACACTTTCCTCGCACGCTGATTGCTTTTCTGTGTCCTGTTCCAAGAAGGGGGTGTTGGTGCCCAGTGGAAACTGGCCACGGTCCTTAGCATAACAAAGGCCCGTTCTGTCCGGGCGGGTACTGCACAGGAAGTGCCTTTCCGCGTGTCAGGAGAGGATCTGACCCTGATCCCGCTAGCAGCTGAGTCTGAGCTCCCTGGCCAGGTGGGCGGGGAGGTCAGGGGCACCTCTTGAGGGGTTGCACAGTGGGAGGGAGCCCAAGGGCCAGGCTGGCCAGTCTGAAGGGCACAAGTAGGTGCGCTGGGCTGGGGCTGGCTCCTGGCCAGTGCACCAGCTGGTGGCAAACATGTAACATTGATGTAACATTCAAGACAGAAACTCCTCAACCCATACGGCTTCTTCAGGTGCCCCTGATGCACACATGCATGTGCACACTTGCACACTTGCATACATGCGTACATAAACGCACGTGCACACATGCGTACACTCAAGCATATACACACGCGTGCTCGCACACACTCATATCTAGACATACACTCAGCACATATGCACACATATACGTGTATGTGCATGTGAGCACACATACACATATAGATGCACAAAAAAATACATGCACATAAAGCATGCACAAACACATGCACAGGCACACCCAGCTCACACATGCGCACACTTGGACACACACATCCATACACGCAACACGAATACACTCAGCACATATATGCCCATACACAGATGTGAGCACACACATGCATACTTATGCACACACGCGCACATACACATACACACATGTGCGCGCGTGCGCACACACACACACACACACACACATGCACTCCCCTGGAGAATCAACTTGTCACATGGGTCTGGCTCTAGCACAGCTGCGGCCGCCATGTGCCTCTGCCTTACTGACGCTCAGGCCCCTCCATGCGGCCCATTAGCATAGAAAACACCCCTGGGAGCCCCCCGGAACACCCATGGGGCCTTGGGGTCCACCTCTGAGCCACCCCGAGCCTGCACCCACCCGCTCAGAGAGAAGAGGGGCCCCTGAGGATCCCTGGGGACTGGCCGCACCCTGGGCGTCCCCCTCCCCCCGGTATCTGGCCACTGCTGGGATTCAGGTGGGGACCCGCCTGCCTGAAGTCCCTTCACGCCTCTCCCCTGCCCAGGTGCCTGGCACTTCTACCCATACGGCCTGCAGGCCTTGCAGCCCGCCCTGGGCGCCTGGTGGGACGCGAAGGGCAGCGGCAGGCAGGGGCTCTGGGAGTCCCGAGACGCGTCCCCGCATTTCCAGGTGAGTCCGGGCCCGTGTGCAACTGGCCTCCTCTCTCGCGTCCCCTTGCCTTGGGGTGCAGCAGTTTAAGGTGTTTTAGAGGGTTTTTTTTGGGGGGGGGAGGGCGGCATGTACCCAGTAGTGCTCAGGGCTTCCGCCTGGCTCTGGCAGGCTCAGGGAACCCTATGGGATGCTGGAGATCGAACCTGGGTCAGCTGCATGCAAGGCGAGCACTCTCCCTCCCCGCTGGCTGGCTGGACTGTCTCTCCAGCCGAGCCCCAAGGGATGCAGCACTTGGATGTTTGAGGGGTGAAAGTGACTCCAAACCACTCCCATGTGAGCCAGCGACCCAAGCAGGGAGAGAAGCAGGAGTCAGAGCCACGTGCTGTCCCCTGCTTCCTGTCCCAGGTCCCCCCCACTGATGTTTCTGAGTCACTCCCCCCAGCAAGGGGCACCCTGGCCAGCTCCCGCCACCGAAGACCAAGTCCCGTACATCAGAGACTGTACTGGGCTCCCCTGGGCTAACGGGTTCTGGGGTGCCACGGCTCTCCTCATGGCCGCAGGGCAAGGCGCCGAGAGTGGAGACAGGCCAGGCCTCCTGAGGCCAAGATTGTCGTTCATGCACCGGCCATTGCAGCCTAACTCAGAGCCTGCCAAGCGGGAGACGCCAACAATGCCTCTCTCGGTGGGAGTCCCTGCCACAGGTGGGCGGGGGAGCGGGTGGGGGGGCAGAGGACACAGGCCTTATAGGACAAGGGAGGGGTCCCAAGTGACCAGGGTGTCTGTGCACGTCAGCCCGGCAGGGCGGCAGGGGAGGTCATCGAGGTGTCAGCCAAAAACGCAAACCCTGTCACCCCTAATTAGAGCTAAACTTTGGCGGCAGGCTGCTGCACTTGGTCACCACATTCCAGCCATCTCTTGGGAAGGATATTATTTTCCTACTGGGCCAGAGCCATAGCTCAAGGGACTGAGTATGGGTACTGTGTAGGGGGGGCCCACTCTCCATCCAGCAGCCCACTCTCCCTGAGCACCGCCAGGGGCCATCCTGAGCCTGGCTGGGTGTAGCCCCCCAAACCAAAAATAACCATGCACAGGGGCCGGAGTGATAGCACGAGAGGAGGGCGTTTGCCTTGCACGTGGCCAACCCGGGTTCAATCCCCGGCGTTCCATAGGGTCCCCCGAGCACCCCCAGGAGTGATTCCTGAGTGCAGAGCCAGGAGGAACCCTGAGCGTCGCTGGTGTGAACCAAGAAGCCAAAACAAAAACACAACACCACACTGTCACCTGTGACTTGGTTTTTCCTGGCCAGTCATTAGTGACGCTATCCAAGCCAGCTTTTTTTCTATTTTTTTTTGTGGGGGGGGGTGGAGAGTCACACCCAGCAATGCTCAGGGGTTCCTCCTGGCTCTGCATTCAGGAATTACTCCTGGTGGTGCTCTGGGGACCCTATGGGATGCCGGTGATCAAACCCGAGTCGGCCGCCTGCAAAGCAAATGCCCTCCCTGCTGTACTATCGCTCTAGCCCCCAAACTAGCTTGTTTGTAAGGGGGTGGTGGGTCAAGGGGGACTCTCTTGGGGCGGGAGAGATTGTGCCCCAGTGCAGAGCACTTATCTTGAGCGTGGCCAACCCCCCCCCCCCGCACCCCACGTGGTCACCAGAAACCGGCCAGGATGATCCGTGAGCACCAAGCCACGAGGAAGCCCCCGAGCGCAACCGGGTGTGGCACAAACCCTACTCAAAAGAATGAATCTCTCTCGGTGCACTTGGCGTAACGACATTAAGAGGACCAGTGCCCGGCGGGGCCAGGCGGGGCGGACGTTCTGCAGCTGTTTGTTTTCTGAGTCATGCAGAGTGGCAGCTGGTTTTCACGTGGAATCTTTTTAAAATCCACCTTTCACGAGGCAACACTTTTTAAAAAGCAGCCTTGGCACCCGGCAGGCCCCTGCCCTTCGAGAGTGGGAGGCCAAAGCGTTTTGTCATCCCTCCCAGCAAAGATTTTTGTCGTGCCGCCAACAAGGCCCTCAAAACTCTGAATGTGCCAACGCGTGCCACCCTCCAGCCCAGCCACCCAGGGCTCGGCCCCTGCTTGTAGCCACTGAGTGAGGAACAAAGCAGAGGCCGACTCGGGCTCCTCCAGCCTCGCTGGAAGGTGGGGTTTGCTCAGAAAACAGCACAGCGGGGAAGGCGCTGGTCTTGTGCAAAGTTGAGCCCGATGGGACCAGAGTGATAGCACAGCGGGGAGGGCGTTTGCCTTGCACGCAGCTGACCCAGGTTCGATCCCCGGCATCTCAGGAGATCCTCTGAGCACTGCCAGGAGTGATTCCTGAATGTAGAGCCAGGAGTAAGCCCTGAGCATCACTGGGTGTGGCCCCGTAAGCCCCCCCCCCAATAAAAGTTGATCCTAGTTCAGTCTCCACGATCAGATAGGTCCCCAAGCCCAGCCAAAGAGATCCGTGAGCACAGAGTCAGGAGTAAGGTCTGAGCACAGCTGAGTGTGGCCAAAACAAGAAGCAAGGAGACTGGGACCAGTGATGGCACAGCGGGGAGGGCGTTTGCCTTGCATGTGGACAACCTGGGTTCCATCCCGGCATCCCATAGGGTCCCCCGAGCAGTGCCAGGAGTGATCTTTGAGTGCAGTAACCCCTGAGCATCACCACATGTGGCCCCCCAAACCAAAAAATATAAAGAAACCAAAAATTTTAAAAAACCTCAAAAACAAAACCGAGTGCTGGGAGCGGTCCTCAAAGCCACTACTGGCCTGTGATGAGAGAGGGGTCAGGACTGTGGTCACCAGGCCCCCTCAGTCCATCCTGTCGCTCCTGGTCCTCTTGGATTTCCAGAATGTTCCCTCTGTGGGATCCCTGGGGAGCACCTGGGTCCATCCCACCTGCTGTGGGCCAGCCACACCCCCCCAACACTCCATGTCCCTGCGCCCTGGGCAGGCTTCCGTGTCAGCGCACACATGTCCGCGCGTGGACAGTCACGGCCACTTGTGGATGCTCAGACCCCCCCTCCCCCCCAGGCGGAGCAGCGCATCCTGTCTCGGGTGCACTCGCTGGAGCGGCGCCTGGAGACGCTGGCGGCCGAGCTGTCGGCCAACTGGCAGAAGGAGGCCATGAGGCTGGAGCGCCTGGAGCTGCGGCAGGGAGCGGCGACCGGCGACGGGGGCAGCCTGAGCCACGAGGACACGCTGGCCCTCCTGGAGGGGCTGGTCAGCCGCCGGGAGGCTGCCCTGAAGGAGGACTTCCGCCGGGACACGGCCGCGCGGATCCAGGTGGGCGCAGAGCGGGGACTGCGCGCACCGGGGACAGTGCGCGCAGTGGGGACGGCGCCAAGGTCGGTGCGCGCGGGTTTCGGGGACCTTTCCACCTCCACCGAGCTTTAATTTTAACGCTCCCCCGTCACGTGGAGGCGCCGGGGTCTGCCCGCCCCGCCGTGAGGACCCGGTGCCCACCCTCACGGATGCGCGCAGTGAGGCCAGGCGCGGCCCAGAACCCCGGGCAGGGCCTCCCAGCGCGGCTCCCCCGCGGCACAGCGTTTGCCCTGCGCGAGGAGAGGGGGCACCCTCCAGCCCTCGTAGCCCCCAGGACACCCACCCACACCCCCGCTCTGGGCCGCAGGAGGAAGTGGCCGCGCTGCGGGCCGAGCACCAGCAGGACGCCGAGGACCTGTTCAAGAAGATCGTGCAGGCCTCCCAGGTGCGCGGCGGGGGGCGCGCCTGCAGGGGGCGCTGCCGGGCAGGGGCGAGGCGTGGGTGAGGAACCCCCGGGCTGCCTAGGCGCCAGGCCCGGCCCGGGTGATGGGTGCCGGGGTGGGGCGTGGGGGGGCATCAAGCCGACGCCCCGTCCGGGGGTCGCTACCCTGAGCCACGTTTTCTCCTGTTCTAGGAGTCTGAGGCCCGGCTCCAGCAGCTCAAGTCCGAGTGGCAGAGGTAACCGTGCTCCCCGCCGGCCGCCTCCCTCCTCCCGGATCCCAGAGTTCTGCCTGGGGTCCCCGCAGAGAGCAAGCGGGTCGGCGCTGGCCGGACGCTGTCTGACGGGGATGGGGTGCCCGTGGGAGGGGGAAGGACTGGGTGGAACTCGGGGCCCTTATCACACAGGAGGAACCTGGGCCCTGGGCGTGGAGAGGCAGCCGGGGGCCCTGGGCTGGGCCAGCAGGGTTTTGCCCAGTGACACAACCCCCCCACCCTCTCTCTGGGTGCAGGACCACCCAGGCCTCGTTCCGCGAGAGCTCCACGCAGGAGCTGGGGCGGCTGGAGGCGCAGCTGGCCGGGCTGCGGCAGGAGCTGGCGGCGCTGGCCGGGAAGCAGGGCTCCGTGGAGGACCGGCTGGGGCTTCTGCCGCAGCAGATGCAGGCCGTGCGGGACGACGTGAGTGGCTCCCCCTCCCCCAAATGCAGGACACCCCCTCCCCCCAACGCTGCCGGGCCCCGGCCCCGCCCACTGGGTGCAGGTCCCGCCCACTGGGTGCCGCCCCCCCCCCCCCCCCACACACACACCTGAGCGCGTCCCTCGGTCCCCAGGTGGAGTCCCAGTTCCCGGCCTGGCTCAGCCAGTTCCTCGCCCGCGGTGGGGGCGCCCGCGCGGGGCTGCTCCAGCGAGAGGATGTGGAGGCGCAGCTGCGGGACCTGGAGCGCAAGATCCTCGCCCACGTGGCCGAGGCGCAGGGCAAGTCGGCCCGCGAGGCCGCGGCCAGCCTGGGGCTGACGCTGCAGAAGGAAGGCGTGATCGGGGTGACCGAGGAGGTGAGCAGCGGCTGCCCCGCCCCCAACACACGCACACGTTCACAGGTACACTCACATATATACACATACACACACACTCATTCATGCACATACACAAACACATACACACATATAATCACATGCACATTCACACGCATACACTCATACACATACACAGTCATTCATGCACATACGCAAACACATCCACATCCACACACTCACATATACCCCACACACATACACTCACATACATACATACACATTCACGCATACACAAACACATTCACATGTACACACATGCACACATACACTCACACATTTGCACACATACATATACTAACATACATACATACACACATTCATGCATACGCATACACAAAGACACTCACCTGTACACATACACCCACATACACATTCACACATTCACATACACTCACATATACACACATTCACGCATACACAAATACATATACACATACACAAACACATTCACATGTACACACATTTATACACATACAAATACATTCATACACACATACACACACACACACACACTCCCAGAGCCACACACTCCTTGGGCCTGCGTACCCTGGCATATGGGGTGGCCCTCCAGCTGGGCGGGCAGGCGGGCGGGTTCCTCCGGGTACCAGCAGGGCCGGCCCGCCGTCTTCCAGCAGGTGCACCGCATCGTGAAGCAGGCGCTGACGCGCTACAGCGAGGACCGCATCTCCATGGTGGACTACGCCCTGGAGTCGGGAGGTGGGTGCCCCCCACCCCCACCCCGTTTGAAAAGATTTGAGTTCTGGGGTTGCCACTGTCGGTGCTCAGGAGTGACCCCTGGCGGCGGCTCAGGGGACCACACGCGGCGCGCCTCACCGGCTGTCCCCCTGCCCCTCCCCTCTGTGTCCCGCCCGCCCAGGGGCCAGCGTGGTCAGCACCCGGTGCTCCGAGACCTACGAGACCAAGACGGCGCTGCTCAGTCTCTTTGGCATCCCCCTGTGGTACCACTCGCAGTCGCCCCGCGTCATCCTCCAGGTGGGCCCCGAGGGGCGGCGGGCACTGCCCATCCCCGCCCGCGCGCGTCTCCCCTCCCACTGACCCGGCCCCCTCCCTTCCAGCCAGACGTGCACCCAGGCAACTGCTGGGCCTTCCAGGGGCCGCAGGGCTTCGCCGTGGTGCGGCTCTCGGCCCGCGTGCGCCCCACCGCCGTCACCTTAGAGCACGTGCCCAAGTCGCTGTCGCCCAACCGCACCATCTCCAGCGCCCCCCGGGACTTCGCCGTGCTGGTGAGCGTCCGGCGGCCGGGCTGGGCGGGGGTCTCCGGACGGAGCAGGGGGGGGGAGCATGACGGGCACGTCGCGCCTGGGTGGGTGAGCGTGTCTCAGCAGGGTCTCCCACCCATCCCGCACCCTCAGGGCTTCGATGAGGACCTGCAGCAGGAAGGGACGCTCCTGGGCCAGTTCACCTACGACCAGGACGGGGAGCCCATTCAGACGTTCTATTTCCAGGTACGGGGCTGTCCCTGCCGCGGGAGGGGGTACTGCCCTGACCCGTCCACCCGCTGGATGGTCACCGATTCCTATACCCCTTTCTTGAGGGGCCTGCGTGGGCGGGGCAGCTCCTGGTGGGGGTTTCCAGGCCCCCCACCGGGATCTTGGGCAGCGGCTGGGGCACCTTCTTAGAAATGACCCTTGGGGGCTGGAGCAGATAGTGCAGTGGGGAGAATGTTTGCCTTGCACACAGCTTCCTCAGTTCGATCCCAGGAGTCCCATACGGCCCGAGCCGGCCAGGAGTGATTCCTGAGTGCAGAGCCAGGAGTGACCCTGAGCACCGCCGGGTGGGACCCAAATTACCTCCCCCGCACTCCCTCCCCCGCCAAAATAACAAATGACTTCCAACTCCCAGCCTTGAGTCTGCTGGCAGGAGGCATCTCCCCGTTCCTGACCGTCTCTCTCTCCACCCCCCAGGACCCCAAGATGGCCAGCTATCAGGTGGTGGAGCTGCGGGTGCTGACCAACTGGGGCCACCCCGAGTACACCTGCATCTACCGCTTCCGGGTGCACGGGGAGCCCACCCACTAGCGTGCCCCCCGGGTGCACGCCCGCTCTCAGGGCCCCTCCGGGGAAGGGGGCACACCCCCCGCCGCCCGCCCCACTCCCGTGATCCGCACTGACTCGGGGCGCACACCGGAGGTCCTGCAGCCCAGCGCCATGCAGGCCCCTGGCCCTGGGCCGCCCCCAGAGGATGTAAATACTCAAGCCCGTGCTGGGCTGCTGTCGGGGGGCGCTGCTGGCTGGACTTGTGCCAAAGCCGAGGAGACCCAGGCCCTGGGTCAGGCCAGAGGGCCCTCCGGGAGGAGGTGCCCGGCGTGGGGGATCGACTCCCGCTACAAAGCCCTGGACTCTTCTAGAAGGCCTGTGCCACCACTGGGGGGTGCCTGGATCTGGCTCGGAGGCGCTTCTCTGCACTGTATTTGCCCCCGGGGTATGCAGGCCTCTGGCTCCTGGGCCCCGAGGGCAAAGTGCCAACCCTGGGGCCCCCTCTCCCTGGGGCAGGAAGTCTCCTGAGGCCACAGGCACCGGGGGTCGCCACACTGTGGTCCTCCTCACTCTTTCCTTTCTGGGCGTTTTTCTAAGGGAGCCGTGGGGGTGGGTGCCGGGGAAGGGGCCGAGGTGCGGGGGCTTTCGGAACCAGCAGGCCCTGCGGGTTTGTGTACATATTTTTCAAGGTCTGTTTTTTAAATGGAAAGCTAAGGGCTTGGTGCCAGCCCCGTTCTGTGGGGCGCGGGTGAGCGAGCGCCACTCCGTCCCCTGTCCCCGCGGCCAAGGGCTGGGGGCTGCTTGGTTCTGGCCTGCGTGGGGGAAGACGCGGCCCCTGCAGCTCATGCCCGGGGCCATCGGGGCGGTCTGCGCTCTCCGTTCACAAATGCTGCATTCTTGGCTCGGAATTTTCTATGTCCAGATTCTAATTTATGCCTACGCAGAAAAATAAATTATGCCCAGAATTGAGCGTGCCTGGTTTTGATCCGCCTGTGGCTTGGGCGGTCTGGTCGCGGGAAAACAAGATGTGAGTTCTCACCCGAAACAGCACCCCACTTTAAGATGTATTTCGTAGGGGGCCACAACTGGCGGTGCTGGGGGGTCCATATGGGATGCCGGGAACGGAACCCGGTCAGCTGCATGCAGGGCGAGTGGCCTACCTGCTGGACCATCGCTCCAGCCTCTTTGAATTTTTGGTTCTTGGACCACACCTGGCAGTGCTCAGGGGTCACTCCTGATGGACTCAGAGGACCAGATGGGGTGCTGGGAATCGAACCCTGGCCTCCTGCATGCAAACAAGTCCTCCCCACTGTCCTAGGGCCCCAGCCTCTAAGCCCGCTTTTAACCCAGGGGATGCCGGCTCTGCTGGTCCTGTCCCCCATCTGAGCCACCCTGGAGTCTGTGGGGGTCCCCTTCCATGGGACTTGGGACCTGCCCTCTTCACTGGCACAGGTGCCCCCAAATCAGAGCTGCCTGCTCAGGGGTGCAGAGCCCGGCCCTCACCCGATTCAGCCAAGGTGCCAGGGACGCCAAGCACCTCTCACAGGGCAGTGGGGGGGAAACTGGTGGTGATGTGGGGGTGAGAGCTTGCAGCTCCTCCGCTGGGCAACCTTGGGTCCAGCCCTCGGTGACCCCAAGTGCTCCGAAGGAGAACAGGAACCTGCTCCCCACCAGGGCAGGGCTATACCCACCTGCTCCATCCAAATCTCCACACAGCGGTCACCTGCCCTTACACACTCACACACCTGCCCTTACTCACACACACACACACACACCTGCCACCTATCCCATATACACAATTGGCCCTTACACCTACACACCTGCCTCTTACACTCATCCTCACACATGCACACCCCTGCCCCTTCCCCTCACCCCGCCCCCATCCCGCAGGCCCACGCATCCATCCATTCAGCCCCAGCACTGGTACCCCAGCCCCAGCACATCAGTACCCGAGGCCCGGAGGGACCGGAAGTCATCCTCAAGAGCCTCCAGGAGATGCCCCACGGGCCGACTCTACAGAAAGGCCAGGGCCGAGCACTGCGGGTCTGAGTTAACACTTTATTCTGTCAACAAAAGGGCTGGTGCTTGTCCCAGACAGCGGTCCGGTGGCCTCTGTGGCCCGGCTCTCGGCCCTCCCTCACCCGGCAGCGACTGATGCTGGAGCCCGAGGGCGCCCACCTGCTGTGAGCCCCATCACAGCCAAAGGCCTGTGGGGACACGGAGGGGTGGACACACCGCGGGAAAGGGGACACAGCAGCAGGGCAGGTCAGCAGCGAGGCCAGGGGTCCGTCTGCTGCAGGCTCTCCCTGGGAGAAACCCGCCGCGCGCACCGACCCCAACGTCCACACCCATGGCAGCTGCCACTGATTCCCTGGCAGCCCGTGGGGGCGGGCAGCACGACACCCCTCCGCGGGCAGGGAGGCTGGGTCGGCTCCCTGTCCCGGGTCCGGGGAGGCCCGGGGCTTTGGGGCGGGCACAATCCCCCTGGAACAAACTGCGCGTGTGCTGGTCTGGTCAATCCACGGCCACGGGTCAGTGGCGACGAGGACGGCTGGGAGGAGGGGGAGGAGGCGGCCACGGGGAAGAAAGGAGGGACGCGGGGAGGCGAGGCTGAGGGGGACCCAGCCAGCTGGGTGTGTGCCCGTCGGGCCTGCAGCGGGTGCCGGGAAGGCCTCTCCCACCCTGCTCCGGCCCCCGTGGGAAACGGGGGACAGGGCAGGGCCCAGGTGGGGGAGGGGATTCCAGTCGGGGGCCTCTTGGAGGAACCCTGGGACCCCACCCACGGAGGCGCCGGGAAGCATGACCCTGAGCAGGCCCACAGGGACCCCACCATGCTGCTCCCCCATGCCCTGAGCCTGCGGCCTCACCAGACGGCGCGAGATGGGAAACGGCTGCACTCGGCCCTCGGTGGCCACGGTGGGTAAGAGGGGGGCGGGAGGGGGCGCCTCCTTCCTCAGCTCCCCCGACCTGACAGGCTGAGGCAGGCAGGCAGACGAGGGTGGGGGCGGAGGGGGGGGCTGCAGGGGGCCGCAAAAGGGACTGGGGGAGCCAGGCCCAGGCCCTGGCCAGCGGCATCCCTGCACCTCACACATACGACCTCACTCTCCCGGTCTCTCTCCCACGGAAGGACAGCCGAGGGTGGCAGATAATAGATAATAAAAAGAATAAAAACTAAGGGCCCATATATACAAAACTGTGAGCGGGGGAGGCAGGGACGGTCAGCCCTCGGGGCGTGGGCCCCCTCCTCAGCTTATAAATTACAGCCCCCCAGAACGGGGCGGGGCGCGGTCTCCTGGGCGAGCAGGGGCACTGCCCACCTGCTGGAGTGACGCGGGGCCGAGGACCCCGGGGCGGGTGGGCTGCGGGGGTCTAGCAGCCGCCGGCAGGAGTCACGCAGGCCCCCTGGGACTTCACCTTGTGGCGCTGGCCCCCTCGGCGCCGGCCCCCACTGCTGGGCTTGGGCTGAAAGGCAAGAAGAGGCGTGACTGGAGTGGCCGCTGGACACAGGGACCGCGACGGGCAGCATGGATGGGGGAGGGGAGAAGCCAGCAGCGCCCACAGGCCCTGGGCAGTCTCCAGGGAACAGGCAGGAGAGGACAGACTGGGCAGGGCAGAGCCTTAGGGAGGCCAGAGACCCACGAGGGCGGGGTGGGGGCAGGAGAGCCCCAGGAGACCCTCAGGAGGCAGGGGGCGGGGGAGGGGAGTAGGAGCTGCTGAGCCCACACCCCTCCCTCCCGGCTTCCGGCCGCAGTGGCTACAAGCCCTTCCTGCCCTTCTGGCTTTCTCCAGTTCACCGGAACCAAACAGGGAGGGGCGGGACAGCACTGAGGGCAGATGGACAGGAAGCTACCTCCCCCTGGCGGGCTCCACCCCCAGCGCCCGAGGGTCCCTGAGTCCTGCCAGGAGTGAGCCCTGAGCACAGAGTTGAGAGTGAGCCCCAGCACAGAGTCAGGAGTGAGCCCCGAGTACCGCTGCCAACAAAAACACCCCAGATGGTCACCAATGATCTGAGCTGGTGAGAACCAGGGCCTCAGAGTGCAGAACTGCAGGAGATGAGCCCTGGGTCAGGCGCGGGCACCCCTGCCCCTCGGGCCCGGGGCCCAGCTCACCTGCGGCTGGAGGCCGCTGGGCGCGGACGGCTGGGCAGCTCCGAGCGAGCTCGCGTCTTCTCCCGGCGGGGGCGCCCCTCCTGCCAGCCCTCCGGAGGGGCCCCCCTCTTCTCGTTTAGTCAGGGGACCCTTTTTCGTCGACTGCATTTTTATCTGCTGAGGCTTGGAGTTCATCGGGGAGTTGTTGGTGGTTTGGAGGAGCTGCAGGGACCAAGGAAATGAGGCTGAGGGGGGCTGCGGGCCTCCCGCTCCCTGGCCTGCTGGGACCTGGGGGGGGGGGGGGGGCAGGGAGGGAGGGGCTGGGATGGGGTACGGGATGGGGAGGGGCGGGGCGGGTCCCTGTGCTGGGCCTGGCCCACTGTCCCCCACAGGCCTTCTGTGGGGTTCTGCCCCCTGCGCCCCCCACTCCCCTGGCCTGGTCCTGATGGCCTGGAGCCCGGCAGGCGGGCGCTACAGTGGTGCCTCAGCCCCGCCCCGTGCCCCTCACTCCGGGGTCCTCCCTTGCCCGCGCCTGCCTTGGTGATGGTGCCCACGGCCTTCGTGCGGCCTTCCCGGAACACCAGCCGCTGGTCGATGTGCAGGTACTCGGGGGTCTTGATGAAGCGGAAGTGCACGGTGGCCTTGTCGCCGGTGCGCAGGCAGTCCTTGTCCATGCTCAGGATGGTGGCCGTCTGCCGGATGCTCCCGCAGTGCACTGCCCAAGGGAGCCGGCGTCAGGTGGGTGGTGGCCGTGGCCACCACGGCTGGGGGACACGCAAGCAGGACCGAGCAGCCCCCTGCCCCCGCTGGCTCCTGCCCCAGGCTGAGCTCCCGTGGGCTGGCTCTGCGCCACTTTCAGCTGCCCCCGCACCCTGGCACCGCACTTCTGGGTATATGGAAGGGCGGGGCTGGGGCTCCTAGGCACAGATCTGGACAGGGCACAGAGAGACAGACAGGCCCCCGGGCACAGACAGACTCACAGACAGGCCCCTGGGCACAGACAGACTCACAGACAGTCCCCTGGGCACAGGCAGACTCACAGACAGTCCCCTGGGAACACACAGACTCATAGACAGTCCCCTGGGCACAGACAGACTCACAGACAGTCCCCTGGGCACAGACAGACTCACAGACAGTCCCCTGGGCACAGGCAGACTCACAGACAGTCCCCTGGGCACAGGCAGACTCACAGACAGGCCCCCGGGCACAGGCAAGGCGTGGGGAATGAGCGGGAGATCGAGCCCCAGGCAACCCCGCACACCTACCCATGGCCTGGTAACGGGGGCTGATGGTGGTGGGGTGATGCAGGACGAGAATCTCGGCCTCGAACTCCCAGGACGCTTGGGGGTTCAGGCGCGGGGACACCATGACCATCCCCTTCCGGATGGACGAGCGCTTGATCTGGAAGGCAGAGGGAGGCGGCGTTCGGGGGGGCTGCGCCCAGGGCGAGGCGAGGCCGGCGGGGCGGGGTCGGGCCGCTCACCTTCTTCAGCGCGAAGGAGGCCGTCTGGCCCCCGCGCACCTCCTTCACGGGCATGCGCTTGCGGTGGATGGACTTGACGGCGATGGACAGGAAGTTGCCCAGGGGGTCCGGGCCCAGCAGCAGCGTGTCGTTCAGCTTGATCAGGCCGCGCAGGGTGGTCCCCGACACCACGGTGCCCACGCCCTGTGGAGACACCCCGGCTGGTGAGAGGTGCTCCCTGGGCCGGCCGACCCGCCAGACGGCCAGACGCCCCGCCCCTGTGGGCCTCACCGGCACAGAGTAGGTGTCGTCGATCTGGAACTCGGCCGGCTCCTCCTCCCGGCAGCTGGTGCGTGGTGACAGCAGGTTGAGGAACATCTTGAGCAGGTCCAGGTTCTCGCCGGTGACGTTGGAGATCTGGAAGATCGGGCACATCCTAAGCGGGGAGGGGGGGCGAAGAGACAGGAAGGAGGCGCTCAGGGGCGCTGGGGACCCGCGCCTCCAGGGCCTGCCCAGGGCCACCTCCCCTTACTTGGGGATTGATTTTGGGCTTGGGGGACCACGCCCGATGGTGCTCAGGGATCGTTTCTGCCAGGCTGGGGGGACCATGTGGGGTGCTGGGGATCGGACCCGGGTCAGCCGTGGGCCAAGCAGATGCCCTACCTGCTGTGCTACTGCCCTATCCCAACATGGTGTGGTTTTGAAATTTAAAATCTGAGGGGCTGGAGAGGCAGGCCAGTGGGTAAGGTGCTGGCCTTGCACATGACCCGAGTTCGATCCCCAGCACCCCATATAGTCCCCCGAAGACTCCAGAAACGACCCCAGAATCAGAGCCCGGAGTCAGCCCTCAGCGCTGCTGGGTGTGGCCCCAAGACAAAAGCAATGAAATTCTGAGGGTCCAGCGGGCCCCGGGTCCCATGCCTGGGGATAATGTGGTCACTGAGGCTGCCCGCCTGGGCCTAGAGTAGAACGGGGGCCTCATGAGCTCTAGGGGACACGAAGTCCAGGGACTGCACGAGGTCCAGCCCCCATGTCTGATTTTCTCACAGGGCAGGTGATCCACTAAATAGATTCCAAGCACAGGCCTGGCCCCAAAGTGCCCCCTCTGCTGGCCAGGAGGTGTGACTGACGCCCAGGCAGACGCCTCCCAAGAAGCCTGAGTCCGGAACGGGGGTCCCGAGCGTGGGACACCTGGGGAGCGCAGGCCAGAACAAACGCCAACAAGCATCTATCCTCAAGGCTTACGTCAGGGCCAAGACGCCAGCATGGGTGTGAGGCGAGGGTTTCGGAGAAGTGACAGTACATCCACCTTGACGTGCAGGACAGCTGCCCAAAGGCTGCATGTCTCCCGCCAACAGTCCCACGCGGACATGAGCCCCGGGGAAGGGGTGCCACTGTCAGCTCGCGGGTGGGGACACCTCCTTGCCTCAGGTGGACAGGCTGGCATTTTCTGGTCCAGGGCTTACGGGGCCTGCTGTCTGTGGACCTGCCTCTCCTCCCCCGCCCCCTGAAGGCTGGGCTGGCTCTGGCCCGAAGTACCTCTCGGAGCTGAAGTTGGAGGCGGTGACAATGACATCGTCCTTGCTCTGCACCAGCACGGGGATCTTCCTGCAGCCCGGGGACTTCAGCAGGCGCTGCAGCAGCTTCAGAGTTTCTGGGGGGATGGCGCAGGGTCAAGGGTGAGCACTCGGAGAGACATGGGTGGGACCGGCGGCGGAGGGTAGGGCCTGAACCTGCCACTGCTGCAGAACCCCTGGCAAGGCCTCGGGGGCCAGAAGGAAGAGGCTTGTCCCAGAGAACAAACACACCAGCTGGGAGGGTTTCGGGAGACCAACACTGCAGAGGCCCTTGGGGGCCCCTTCCACAGACACCCCCATTCCCTCCCTCCCATGTCACGGCCTGAGTCCAAATACTGCCCGATATGAGCCAGAGCGATGACAACACAGGGGTTCCGGTGCTTGCCTTGCATGTGGCACCCCATATGTACCCCATCAGGAGTGAGTCCCGAGCACCACTGGGTGCGGCCAAAAATGCAAACCAGACAAGAACCTACGGCCATTTAGAGCCGAGCTTAGAGAGGCCCCCGCTGCTCCCTGGGGACGCCGGGAGAGCCGTGGGTGCGGAAGGGTCCTGAGTTTGCGAGCAGAGGAGCAGACGTTAGGGCATGACTCTGGGCTGCACTCGGGCCTGGGCTGCCAGGGCAGGAAGCAGAGGACTCCAAGCGGTCAGGGCTCAGAGCCCAGGTGTGCACGGGCCCTGCAGCGGCCGCGGCGTCACTCACCCTGCAGGATGTTGGCGGGACACATGTCAATCTTGGTGACCACCACAAACACGGGCACATTGAGCGCCAGCGCCAAGCCCAGGTGCTCCTTGGTCATCCCCACGATGCCAGCATTGCTGCCGACCTGCAGCAGAGAGAGCGGGCATCAGGAGCAAGACGGGCAGCGCCGCTGGGAGGGCCCCGGGGCCCACCGGAACTGGTCATGGGCACAGGGGCCAGGCAGGCACCGGGCAGCTGGGCACGGGGAGCGCCAGTCTCTCCTTCCACAACAGGGGCGGGCGAAGGTGAGAGCTGGGAACGGTGGAAAGACGAGCTCCGACAGCAGAGAACCACCACCGCCAGGAGTTTCCAAAACGGACTCGGTCCCACGCCCCCAGGCCTCAGGTGCCCTCCGTAAAACAGAGGGGCTAAGAGTTTCCAGCTTAGAGGGGCACTCGAGGCTGAAATACCCTAGCGTGGGCCAGAGAGACGGTACAGGGGTAAGGCACTCGCTGTGCTTATGGCGACCCAGGCTCAAATCCTCGCCACCACACATAGACCCTTGAGCACTAACCATGAAGAAGCCCTGAATGTGACTGGGTGTGGCCCCCAAACCCTCAGCCCCCCAGGAAAGAAATGTCCTGGTGCAGGTGAGAGAGATGGTACAGTGGGCAGGGCACTGGCCAGATCAATCCCCAGCACCCCCAACATGCCCTGAGCCTGGCCAGGAATGACCCAAGTGCAGGGCCAGGAGAGGGCCCTGAGCACCGCCAGGTGTAGCTCCGAAACCAAAATAAATAAAACGTGGGGCGCAGTGCCATCAGCAGGTTGACCTGTCCCCATGGGGTGAGTGCATCAGCAGCCAGACGGTGCCTTCAGGCTTCCTTTTAGAGTCAAAAGTGCTGCAGTGCCTCTGGCCAAACCCCAAGAAATCAGGGCCAAGTTTTCGAGAAATTAAAATGGCCAAAAGTTAAGCGTGTGGGAGCCACACCCACAAACCACTTCCAGCTCAGTTATACAAGTTCATTCGTCGGCCTTGCTTCAGAGACACATAAATAAATATTGAAAGAGATCAAAGCTGTAGTAAATCTTGGACCCACACAAGGCCGAGAAGACCAGAGTAAGTCAGAGGCGGGCGGGTCAGCCCAGTTCCCACCCAAGCAGAGCCCTGGCAGCCGCTTGTTCCCACAATCCAAAAATCTCTGCCATGCCCCAGGACAGACTCCACCATCTCAGGACCGACATCGAGAAATAATCTGCTGAAAATCTGAGCAGGTGACTGAACTCTCCAGGGTTTCTCGGGGTTGGGGTGGGCTACCTCCCCCCACTCCCTTAGACTCCTAGAAGCACTGCCAGTCAACCCCCACGAGCCAACTCCAGGGCCACCGTATAAGCTCTTCTACTGGCCTTGCTTCAGAGACCTATAAATAAATCTCGAAAGAGATGAGGGGCCAGAGCGATAGCACAGCGGGAAGGGCGTTTGCCTTGCACGCGGCCGACCTGGGTTCGATCCCCGGCATCCCATATGGTCCCCCAAGCACCACCAGGAGTGATTCCTGAGTGCAGAGCCAGGAATAACCCCTGATGTGTGACCCAAAAAGAAAAAAAAAGAGAGATGAAAAGTCATAGTCAATCTCAGACCAGTGCAAGGCTGAACAGACTGGGGGAAACTGGAGGGGGCAGTTCAGCCCCCCACTGAACAGGCTGCCACCACTGGCTTTCACAATCCAAAAATCGTCGCCATGTCCCTGGCTGGACGCCATCGTCTCAGGATGGACCTGACCAGGATATAATCTGCTGAATATTAGGTATGTTGGTTTTGTGACTGAAATCTCCAGTTTTTCTTGGGGTTGGGATGAGCTACTGCCCCCACCACCACCTCCCGGTGCTTCGGGAAGCCTCGGCAGTCACATCCACACCCCAAAGCTGCCACCCGCTTAAAAAAGCTACTCCAGCCTTACTGTCCCGATAATACTAAACACCCTGAACAAACACGAAGACCTCTTAGCACCTGTATTGCAGGAAGTGCCTGCCATTGGGGCTGGAGTGACAGCGCAGTGGGGAGGGCGTCTGCCTTGCACCTGGTTCCCAGCATCCCATAGGGTCCCCCGAGCACTGCCAGGAGTGATTCCTGAGTGCAGAACCAGGAGGAACCCCTGTGCATCGCCAGGTGTGACCCAAAAAGAAAAAAAAAAAGCGCCTGCCATAGAGGCAGGCTGGGAGGGGTGGCCTTGGCCTTGGAGGGAAGGAAACGGAGGACAGTGGTGGTGGGAAATGGGCACTGGCGGAGGGACGGGTTTTGGCTCATTGTAGGACTGAAACCGGGCCACGAACAGCTTTGCAACAATCTATCTCCGGATATTCAATAATAAATCAATAAGCGAAATAAAAATACATAAATAAATAAATAAATAAATACAAGGTCACAGCGTAGGGCAAAGATTGTCCCTGCCACTCGCGTGAATTGGGTGCCGGGCAATGCCAGCTGTCGGTGCCCCTACAAGTCCTTTCCCGACGAGACGCTTAAAGGCCACGGCAGAGGGTAAACAAAGCAGGCCCACACACAGGTGTGCCCCGCAGAGGGAGAAAGAGGCGGCTGGGATCACTGCCAAGGCGCCTTTAAAGGCAAATGCCACGGTGCGCACGGCACGCTACCGCCAAAATGGCGACTGGGCCTTTCTCAAAAAGCTGCAAGACACATGGGCAGGGGCCGGGGAGGGGACCGGGCAAGGTGCTCGCCGGGCACGCCGCTGACCTGGCTTCGAGCCCTGGCACCCCACAGGGCAACCCCCGCCCCGCCCCAGCACCATCAGGAACCATCCCTGAGCACAGAGCCAGGAGAAAGCCCTGAGCACTGCCGGGTGTGGCCCCAACCAGGCTCCCAAGAGAACAGACGCGGGGAACCTCAGAGTGGAGACAGATACATACAGAGTAGCCCTTGGGTGACGGGGAAGGGGTTGGCTATCATCCTGGCTTCACTGAGGGGGGGGGGAGGGGGGAGGGGGAGGGAAAAAGGGAGGGAGGGAGGGATGGAGAGGGAGAGAGGGAGAGAAAAGGAGAGAGGGAGAAGGGGAGGGAGAGATAAACAGGGAGAGAGGGAGAGCGTTCTTTCTTCAGGAGCTGTGCTGAAGTACTTGGGGGAAAGAGTCGCCCCTTCTACAAACACACTCTCCTTTCAGATGCTCCTGCCAGGCCCCGCCAAGTCCCACACAGAGACGCCCCGTGGGACCCTGAGCGGTGACTTCCCAGCACCCGTGCGCGGCTCTTCCACCCCCTCGGCTAGGCACAGCTCACAGAAACACAAGAAACCGGAAATACAGGTCGGCTCCCGAGAAAACGATCCCACGAGGAAGGGAGCCTTGGCTGAGGGCCTCGGGCCCTTTCTCTCCTGTGCCAGGCCTGTGCCACTGACCATCAAATCTAAGGAGAGAATGCCACAGAGGGCCCGACATTCCCATGGGATCGGCAGATTCAGGCAAGCCGCACCCCAGACACAGGCTGGGCCCCTCCGTCTGCAAGACCCCCCTACTGCCCCCTCCCTCCCCCCATCCTGCCTATCAGCCCACACCGGCTTCTGCTCTCCCAGCCTGCAGAAGGACCTGGCTAAGCTCGAGGGTCTGTTTGGAAGGCCGTAAATTTTTTTTCCCAGGACAGTAATGAAAACCTCACCGCTCTCTTCATAAGCTGTTAATATTTGGGTTGTGGTGTACAGTGAGATCATAAACAACCCTTCGTTTGGGGTAGAGGCGTTTAATCGAGTCTTGGCCGACGAGCTCTGTTGTCTGAACTGAGCTCCTTCTAAACTGGTTTCTAGTGAGGGGATGGAGGTTACGGGCAGGCAGGGGTGCGGGAGAACCACATACCTGAACCCCAGACCCAGAAGGGGAACACGAGAGCCAAACCACGACGCCTAAACTTAGAAACGTACCTGCCATGGGGGCCAGAGAGATAGGACAGTGGCTAGGACGTTTGCCTTGCACATGGCAGACCCAGGTTCGACAACCGGAACTGACAGCTGGGTGTGGACCCAAAACACAACACAAACAGCAACAACAAAAAAGGTGCCTGGCTGGAGGCAGGCTGGAGGGAGGGAGGGACAGTGTCGAACACTGCATGGTGCCTTAATGAAAAGGATTCAAAAAGCAAAAACTGGTTTCCATGCCCTTTGACAGATTACTTTGGTCTCTGGGCCATGCTCTGTGTGAAGAGGGGATCCCCCTGGCTCTGTGCTTGGGGGTCACGATCAATAGGCTCAGAGGTGGTGCTGGGCCGGGACGGGGGTCAGCCTGAACCATTCTCTATTTTTTTGGGGGGTCACACCCAGCGATGCACAGGGGTTCCTCCTGGCTCTGTACTCAGGAATCACTCCTGGCGGTGCTCAGGGGACCATATGGGATGCTGGGAACCGAACCGGGGTCGGCCGTGTGCAAGGCAAATGCCCTCCCCGCTGTGCTATTGCTCCAGCCCCTGCACCATTCCTCTAGCCCCTCTCTCCTGAACACCAACCCACGAGTTCCCGGGCCTCCTCTGGAGCTGCCCCGGGAAGCACTGCAAAGCCGGGAAAGGCCCGGCGAGGCTCCAAGAACCGGCGCTGGGATCCCCAGAGCCTGCTCCCGGGGCCAAGTGTTCGTCCATCTGCTCGTCTCTGCCTCCAGCCTGGGAAGGATGTGGTGGGGAACTCGCTCAAGCGCGCGCACCAGACGCTGGTGTTTGCCAACCTTGTCGATACAGGCAGCTGGAGGAGATGGGGGCCGGCGAGGGCTCTGAGAGGGGCCCACGGCAAAAGCGAGCGCCACTGGGGCGAGGTTGGGGGTCTCAGGGCGCCGCCTCTGCCCAGGGACAAAGAGCAAACGCCAGCTGGGAAACATGAGCCAACAGAGATGCCCAGACTCTCCCGCCTCAATTCTTCTTCAAACCCTATTCCTGGGGCGCCCATGGCACAGCTCAGAGATCTGGAACACTGGGCCGGGAGCACAGGGAGTCACCTCTGGCACCCCGGGTATGGCCCTGGTGGCATTCAGCATCTCTGAACTGAGGCTAAGACCTAGAATATGCAGGTGGCTCTCGGGCCCCTCAGCGCTGCTGGCGACCGACCCCAGTGGGGCCAGCGATGGGGACGTCTTACGCCGCATGACACGACCCCCGAGTACCAGCAGGACTAAACTTGATACAAACGTCTGTGTTGGGGGTGGAAGGAGCACTCCCTGGCTGCCCAGGGGCCAGTGTGTGAGCCCAGCTTCCATTCCGAGCACCACATGGTCCCCCAGGGCACCAGGAGGAAACCCCATAGTGCTGGGAACGCCCCTAGTAGCAGGTTTGCACCCCAACACACAAGCAGGCCCAGGCCCCGTGGACTGCGTGAGTCTCCGGGAGCCGCCCGGAAAACGCTCTGAAAGTATCGGGCCCCGAACACGAGGGACGCCCATAAACGGCACCCGATGGGCAAGGCCCAGCCGCCCACCCGCACCCCTGCCCTCACCATGAGCATGCAGAAGTCGGGCAGGTGGCCCGTCATGCCGAACACGGTGGTCTTCAGGTACTTCTCGTGGCCGGCCAGGTCGATGAAGGTGATGACCTTGGTGGACTTCTCGCAGATCTTCGTCCACTCCAGGCTGCCGCCGTGGCTGTCGGGCTTGTTGACCACGTTGCCCTCGCTGTCGAAGCCCAGGATGTCGTTGCCCACGCTGCTCGTGCGGCCCGACTCGATCTCATGCTTGTGGCGGAAGAGCTTCTGGCGGGCGAAGCCTCGGCCGTTGTCCAGCTCCCCGTGCGTCAGGACACCCAGGAGCGTGCTCTTGCCGGCGTCCACGTTGCCCACCACGGCCACCCTGCGCGGACGGGAATGCACGCGCGGGGCCGTGAGGGCGCGCAGAGAGGGCCTCGGACCATGTGCCCGGCTTCCTGCGCCCGCCCTCGGCCCCACCTTTCCCGAAGTGGCATGTCGCAGATGTCCCCAGGGGTGCCCAGCGAGGGGAGAAGGGACTGCGGGAGTGGGGACCCAGGGGCTTTCTCCTGGGCCCCCACCAGCTGCACCCAGGCTGTCACAAAGGCTCCCCCGGCCAAGAGCGGCACTTGATGCTCCCAGCCAGCCCCGTTTTCTCGCCTCATGGCCTCACGGTGTCAGGGACCCCGCTCGCTCTCGGGGTGAGCCCTGCAGTCGGGGGGAGGGGGCGCTCATGCCGTGGGCAGGGTGGGTGGGCAAGGGGTGATGTCCAGGCGCCGCACTCAGAGGCTCCAGCAGGAATCCCTGCGGCCGAGACCCCCCAGCCCTGCCCCCGGGACCCTCCTCCTCACCTGACCTCCAGGAAGTCATTGTCGCCCACTCGCTTCCGGACCAGGTAGTCCCGCACGCGGCCCCCGGCTTCTTGCCGGTCCCGCAGGAGGATGACGTCGGCCTCGATCTGCTCGGCCATGCTCTTCACCGTGGCGTAGGAGGCCTCCATGTCGGCTTCGCTCAGCCCGTACTCGGTCCCATCTGGTGACAAAGCCCAGACGTCAGCCCACCCGTCGCGCGGCCCTGCCAAGGTGCACTGCGGGCAGCACCCACTTCTCCGCACACGCCGAGTCCCCAGACACCGTGCGCGGCCTCCTCCTTACTCCTCCTACGACAATCACCAAGTGTCTCGTGGGCGTCTCGTGGACCGTCAACACGGGGCCCCGGGAAGCCCACAGCCCCGGCGACAGACGGCAGGGAGTTCACTCTGGGGGCGGCTCAGCGGCGCCTGACCTCAAGCAGGGTCTCCAGGGAGGAGTGGGCTGGTGCAGAAGCAAAGGAGGAAGGCAGGGAGCACAGCGGGCGCCAGCCGGGCACGCTGGGGAGGGTGGCAGATGGGGGGCGGCAGGACAGATGGGGCAGAGAGCAGACAGACAGCAGACACAGCAGAACGCATCCAGGACCAACAGTGAGAAGCCCTGGGGGCGAGATTGGGGGGGGAGAGTTGGGAGCTCGGATAACCCCACGGGTCAGAAAGATCTGGGGAGGGGAGGCTGGAGCGACAGCAGAGCGGGGAGGGCGTTGGCCTTGCACGCAGCCGACCCGGGTTCAATCCCCGGCATCCCATAGGGTCCCCCGAGCACCGCCAGGAGTGATTCCTGCATGCAGAGCCAGGAGTAAGCCCTGAGCATCGCCAGGTGTGACCCAAAAAGTGAAGAGAAAAAAAAGAAAAGAAAAGAAAGAAAACGCCGGTTCTCTGGCAGGCAGGATCAAGGGCGCAGTTGAGCAAGAAACCTGAGACCTGAAAGCAATCCTCCTAATCCACACAGGAGCTGGGGAGGAAGGCGACAGAGGGCACTGGGGGCCTGGCACGGGGTGGCTCCGTGCGGCGAAGGAGCTGGCAAGAGTCTGAATGCAGGATGAGGTGGGGAGCCAGGGAGGCCCAAGGGCGAGGCAGGGGCCCACCCTCAGTCTCTCCCCTCCTCCAGCCCCACCGCCCTGAGGGTGCCGCTTTCCGGCCAGGGTCACTGTCCCCAGCCACGCCCCACCTCTTCTAGCTCCAGTCCTGTCGTCCCTCCCCCCTCCAAACAGTTCAAGGGGTTCTCAAAGGACGGGGAGCAGAGCAAACCCAGCCCGCCATCACGTCACTCAGCCACAGCAATCTCCCACCCCCTGGTGTTGCCCCCTGACAGCGGCCCCAGCCCTCGGCCTGGGGAGGGAAGCAGCTTCCGCCCCACCTTGTCTGCCTCGGGCCCAACTCTCCCTGCTCCCCCCACGCCCTAAAAGTCTCTCAGTCTCCCAGTTGGCCTGCGGAACTCTGCCCCATCCTCCATGGTCCAGCCCTGGGTCACTGTTAAAACCACAAAAACCTCCCCAGTGCACCCGGGTCACTGTCAAGTGCCTGGCACGTCCACTACTCCCCAACACAGAATGTGCAGAACCCGCCCCCCAATCCCCTTCTAGGCCCAGGCTGCAGCCTGGGGGCAGAGCATGCCCGGACCTAGGTTTGATTCCTGGTGCAACAGAAAAGAAAAATTAATTGATTTTAAGAAACCAGCAAAAGGGGCTGGAGCAATAGCACAGCGGGGAGGGCGTTTGCCTTGTGCGGCCAACCTGAGTTTGATTCCCAGCATCCCATAGGGTCCCCCTGAGCACCGCCTGGAGTAACTCCTGAATGCAGAGCCAGGAATAACCCTGAGCATTGTCGGGTGTGACCCAAAAAGCAAACAATAAAAATAAAAATCAGCACAGCGCAGAAATCAACAGCATTAATGAAACATGTCAGTCCTCACGGCAGCCCTGTGCGTGGGCACCGCAGAGCCCCCAGGCTGGAGGTAACGAGATCCCGGGCGTTTGGAATAGGCACCGCGCACGGGGCTCCCAATTCCCCACCCGGAGCCCCTTTCCTTGAGCAAGGGGGCAAGCGTTCCTCTTTTTGATTTTTTAAATGGTTTCTGGGCCACAACGGGTGGTGCTCCGAGCTCACTCCCAGCTCTGCTCAGGGATCACTTCTGGAGGGCACAGGGGCTCGAACCCTAATCGGCCGCATGAAGGCAAGTGCCCTCCCCGCCACACTATGGCTCTGGCCCCGAGGGTCCCGCCTAAGACCCTATGGCCCGGGGCTGGAGCAATAACACAGCGGGTAGGGCATTTGCCTTGCATGCAACCGACCCGGGTTTGATTCCCAGCATCCCGTATGGTTCCCTGAGCACCGCGGGGGTGATTCCTGAGCGCAGAGCCAGGAGTAACCCCTATGCATTGCCCGGTGTGACCCAAAAAGCAAAAAAAAAAAAAAGACCCTATGGCCCAACCCGTCTCCATTTCTCCCCAGCGGGACCCACGCTGCCCCCTCCTGGGAGTGAGTCGTCTGCGGGCCTTTCTCCCCTCTTCCACCACCCCAACATCGCCAACCTGCTCACGGCCCTTCTTCAAGCGGATGGGCCCTCAGCAGCAAACCCGTGTCCACTCCCTCCACCTCGGGACCACGGTCATTTCTCAGCCAAACCTTCGAGAGCAGCTACTGGGCCCTGCCAGGGGCTTCCCATGCCCCCAGCCGCTGCCCCCCACACTCTGCCAGGGGCACTGACCCGACGAAGCCGTAAGCCCCTCCCTGAGCCCCACGACTGCCTGGGTTTGGGAGGCAAATCGCCCCTGTGGCAGCATCCGAGGACAAGGACCAATGTCGAACACTCTCTGGGCGCCCCAGCAGAGCCTCGTCTGTCTCTCATTTTCGTTTTTTTTTTTGGGGGGGTAGCTTTCCTCATCTCAGAGGGTTCAAAGTGGGGTGAGAAAACTGCCCGGCCGTTGACGTCAACCCTTCCTGCAACGCCTTCAGGCCCCGTTCCGAGCCAGGGGGCAGCTGCCCATGTCACCTGGCCCCGGCCTCCCACATGACCCTTGCCCTGGAGTGGACACGGAGACAAGGGGCAGTCCGGAGGCCTGGGGCCCAGTGGCCCACACGCTCGCGGGGTCCGTCCCGCCCGCCCTCCAAGTCCCCTTCCTGCCACCAACGCCAAGGAAACCGGACTGGGGGGACTCAGCTGGACACTCAAGAGCCTCAAAGGACCTAGACTCTGCCTTCCTGTCTGCCCTCCCCTCCAGACACTGCCAGCCTCAGTTGGCACCCCACTGTGCCAAAGAGCTTCTCCACCCCCAAATATGCCACCCACGCCTGCAGGCCTCCGCGCGTGGGCTTTTCTCTGCCACACCAGGGCCACTGTTCACCTGGAACATGGCCATTGTCCTTTAGAATCCACTCAAGGGCACAACGGCTTCAGGGCCTCTGCCCCCCACAACCAGTCAATGGGACTACACCCCTCCCTTGCCCCTGTGGCCCCCTTCAGGGTGGCCCCTGTTAACAATTCCTGGCTCATAAAAAAAAAAAAACAGAATCACAGGATTCACACAATGCCTACTTTATGCCAAGCGCTCGCCTCACTGACCCAAGAGAGGGCGTCAATGCATAGCCCCACCTGAGGACCCGGGAACATGTGGGGACTCAGAAGTGCCCGTCTCTGTGGCTGGGGCTAGCAGTTGGCCTTCTTCTAAAGGATCAATGCCAGGGACTGAGGCACTGGGCAGGGCATTCGCCTTGCATGTGGCCAACTCAGCTTTGACTCTTGTACTCCAGATGGTTCCCCCCACCTTTGTTTTCTGCTTTTGGGGTCACACCCAGCAATGCACAGGGGTAAATTCCTGACGGTGCTCAGGGGACCATGTGGGATGCTGGGACTTGAGCCCGGTCAGCCGTGTGTAAGGCAAATGCCCTGCCTGCTGTGCTATCACTCCAGCCCCTCCAGATGGTCCCCTGAGCCCCGCCAGGAGTGATCTCTAAACACAGAACCAGATATAAGCTCTGAGCACCACCACGCGTGGTCCAAAACCAAAAAGATCAGTTCTGGGGCCTGGGATATGGACAGCCAGCAGGGTGCTTGCCTCACATGTGGGCCAATCTGGGTTCCATCCCCGGCACCACATATAGTCCCCTGAGTCCAGCTGGGAGTGATCCCTGAGCCAGGAGGGGCAAAGCTGGGTGTGGCCCCGAAGACAGACAGACGGAAGACACAGACGGAAGTCAGACAGACAGCTCTGGGGCCACCGAGACGGCACAGCCAGGAGGGTGCGGCTGGCCCAGGTTCAATCCCTGACAGCCCATATGGCTCAGTAGGCCCCACCAGGAGTGACCCCTGACCTCTGAGTCAGGAGGATGCCCTGAGTGCGGCTGAGTATGGCCCAAAAGCAAAAGGAAAAACAAGTCTGCCGAGGGGATGCGGAGGCGGCTGTGCACAGCACTTGCCTTGCACGTGTGAGGCTGAGTCTGGTCCCTGGCAGCAGCCCCACCCTCCAAAGAAGAGACATACGGGGTCAGCACAAGGTGGGTAGGAGGCCTGCCTCGCATCATGCTGACCCAGGTTCCATCTCCAGCACCACAGATGGTCTCCCGACCACTGCCAGGAAGGACCCCTGAGCAACACCGGGTATGCCCCCCATACCTCACCAAAATAAATAAATAAATAAAGAAGACATTTCCTTTGAACTGCTTAGAATGCTTTAATATCTATCTAATAAACACTGAGTCAGGGAGGAGATGGAGGTCACTACGCCCATTTCACAGATGAAGGGAGCGATAAACAGAGGGGAAGCACACCAACAGGAAGTGGGTGAAGCAGTCCAGGGGAAGCCTCTCGGGTTCAACTCGTCTCTCGAGTTAGGATTTCCTTCTACTGCTCAAGAATTCCAGCAGGAAGGAGTCACTCCGAATCTAGTGTCACCCAGTGGGTAAGGACGATGCCTGGGCTGGGTGTGTGGGAGTGTCAGTGTTTAATAGCTTCTCCTGCAATGCCACAGCAGGGTTAATTGGCGGCTGACTTGCCAAAGCATGATGAAACTCACTTAAAAAAAAAAAAATACGGGGCTGGAGAAATAGCACAGCGGGTAGGGCGTTTGCCTTGCATGCGGCCTGACGCGGGTTCGATTCCCAGCATCCCATAGGGTCCCCCGAGCACCGCCAGGAATAATTCCTGAGTGCATGAACCAGGAGCAACCCCTGTGCACCACTGGGTGTGACCCAAAAAGAAAAAAGAATAACAACAACAACAATATACAAACAACCAACCCAAGGGCTGCAGTGATAGTATAACGTGGGTGGGGTGTTTGCCTTGCATGTGACCAACCGGGGTTCAATCCCCAGCACCTTATACCCTGAGTACCGCCAAGAGTGATCTCTGAGCACAAAGCCCTGAGCACCACCACCTATGGCCCCAACAAAAATAAAAACAAAACAAAACAAAAAAACTCAAGGCAGGGGCTGGAGCAATAGCACAGCAGGTAGGGCGTTTAACCTTGCGCGCAGCCGACCCGGGTTCGATTCCCAGCATCCCTTAGGGTCCCCTGAGCACCGTCAGGAGTAATTCCTGAGTGCATGAACCAGGAGTAACTCCTGTGCATCGCTGGGTGTGACCCAAAAAGAAAAAAAAAAAAGAAAGAAAAAAAAACCTCAAGGCAAACGTACGTGCATGTGTGCGTGTGGGGGGGGGGGGGAGGGGAGGGGCAGGTTCTTAAAAATCTTGGTCTTGGAAAAAAACCAAGTTAGGAACACTTGTTAAACTTGACCGAGATGTGGGTGCTGAAATTCAAGGGTGAGCTGATGGCCACTGCCCCTGGTCTTCGAGCAGGCCAGACAGGGCCGAGGGGCCACAGAGGGGCTCACCGTCCTGCCCTCCCTATCTCTGTAGCTCTGGGCAGTGCCTGGCTCCCGGCTCTCCTTAGCATGCACCTTCCCAGCCTGCTATCTCCCTAAGCATGCCTTCTGTCGCCGATAAGGGCCTGAAACTGGAGAGACGGAAGGGCAGATAGAGAAAACACTTCAGAGCAGGGCACAATAGCGACTCAAGTGACACCCTTCCTAATCAACCTTTTGTCACTCCCGCAGCTTTCCCCATATTTTTGGCTACTGAGACTATTTGTGTCTCTGTGTTTCTGCCTGTGAGACTAGACTTGAAGTATCCAAGCGCTCTGCAACAGTATCAAGTCCTGCGGCTGGAGAGATCCCTGGCGGGAGGGCGAGGTGCCCCGCACTTGGCTGAAGCAGGGTCAATTGGCAGCACCCCATATGGCCCCTCCGGCACTGGCAGAAGAGATCCCTGAGCAGAATCAGGAGTTAGCCCTGAGAAAAAAGGTAGCAAGTATCCAGTCCCGAGAAGACACTTACTAGATATGTATCAGAGTTAAAGAAGGTTTTTGACATTTCTTTGCTGAAACTCAAAACTACAGAAGAATGACTGATCACCAGCCTTACAAGGGTGACATTCGGCAGAAAGAACCATTTCTTCAAAATGATGCATCGAAGCCCACCCAGACTTCCTGCAAAGATGACAAGGACAAATTCTGGGACAGAAGCAATTGACAAGCCCGCTGCCCTTCTGGCAAAGACAGTGTCAGAGGGAAGTGAGGGCCAGGGTGCAGGCTGGACACCGAGGGACTACGTTGGGACTACGTTGGGACTGGCCAGGGGTGGAAAGTTCAAGTTCTAACCCGGATTGTGTCAGCGGCAGCCGCGCCTTGCCCTGACAATGAAGCCGGCAGGCCAGAGGACAAGGGCCAGTCCCTTCCAGACAGGGACACGCCTATGCGTCCGAGGGGATCTCCCAAGGGAAGAAGAGGCCCTCTGTGGCCACCGCTCTCCACACTGAGTGACCAGTGTGGTCTGGGCAGGGTGGCCAGGCTGGAGAGGGCCTCTGGGCATCCTTCGCTTACTAACCTCCAGGCTATGGCCCGGGTTGGAAGCCTGGTGGGAAAGAGATGGCGGAGACCGAGAGCTGCCGGGGTCAGCTTCTTTCAGGAGCTGGCCGGGACTTGCTCAGTGACATGTCCCAGCTCTGGACCTCACTTCCCTTTATGCAATCGGGGCAGTGGGGGTAGGAAGGAAGTTTCGGAGAAACGGCCAGGGACCCTGGGGAGGCTCATGGGGCGTGTGTGTGTGTGTGTGTGTGTGTGTGTGTGTGTGTGTGTATGTGAGACTTTATACTTTCCCCCAGACAGCTCTGCGGACACAGTTCCGCGGCTGTGTGTATGTGTGGCTGTGTGTGTGACTTTATTCTTTCCCCAGACAGTGTGTGTGTGTGATTTTATACTTTTCCCCAGATGGAGCGTGTGTGCGTGCGTGTGTGTGTGTGAGACTTTATACTTTCCCCCAGACAGCTCTGCAGACACAGCTCCACAGCTGTGTGTGTGTGTGTGTGAGAGAGAGAGAGACTTTATATTTTCCCCCAGACAGCCCTGCGGACACAGCTCCGCGGCTGCTGCTCAAACGTGTGGACAGGAGAAGTTGGGGAGGGAGGGGCAAGGCGCTCGGGACGCGAGTGCAGAAATAAAGTGAAAGGAAAACTGCTCACCTGATCCCTGCCCAATGACATATATGGTCTCTCCGCAGCCCTCGTCCATCCTCTCCCACATCTGCCGCAGCAGGCTGTCATACTGCTCTGACGAAGGGCTCACTAGAACCAGCTAGAAGAGAAACCGAGAGCCTTAGGACGACTCCGGGAAAAGCGCCACAGCCAAAGCACCTCCGCGCCCGACCCCGCCGCCTACTCTCAACAGCTACCCAGCGCCTGAGCCCTCAGGCCCGCCGGGAGTGACCTGGCCAAGTGCGAGTGTCCGAGAAGCAACAGCGCGCTGCCGGGAGGGCGGTGGTGGTGGTGGTGGTGGGGGACACACCTGCCTCCTGCAGCTTCCCTCAGGCGCTGGGGAGAAACTAAGGGAGGGCTTCCCCTCCTCCTGAGCTCACATCTGGACACCACAGGTCAGCAATCTCACCACCCCAGACCACTGGTGCCCACAATAAAGGCCTCAGAATTGACAGTGAAAACTGCTGCATCTCATCTTCCTGGCTGGACAACCCCCACCCCCCAGACACCACCAAGATGGGGTACAACATCAGCCTCTTGCAAACTTCTGCCAATGACATTACAGCATTAACTGCATCTCTGGTCAGAATCCATCCCTAACCAAGCGCTGTGGCCCTGGGCAAAGAAAGTCAGCAGACCCTCAGTCTTCCAATCCACAAAAATGGACAGGTCAGCGCTGTGCAGGTGTCAAAAGCTACCATGTCAAACAGCTGTCTGAGTCTACAGCTCACCAAGTGGGTGTCACACTTCTCTTGCTCCCAAGAAAAGCCATGGAGGAAGCCAGCCACCACAGTCCATTCACCGTTTCTCTGCCGGCACTGATCCCGGTGGAAGCCCCCCTGCTGAACCCGAGCAAGTGGATTCACCTCCAGCGGCTCATCTGTTTCTCAGCACTCAATGTCTTCAACCCATGCCCGCTGTCCCAGCACACTGTCAGTCCGTCTTTCCAGAACCATCGATACTGACAGAGAGCTTTCCGATTTAAAAGCAGCGGGCGTCCCCTTGGATACAGACAGGGAGTAACAAGTCCCCTGCTGGAGCACTAGATAAACTGGCCAGGACCCGGCTGCCTGGGAACCCACCCTGCAAGGTACCACCTTGCCTGCAGGTTCCTTAAGCACCTTGCCCAGGTCCTGCTGTCCAGCTGGTGTGCTTTGGGTTCCAGCGCAGGTCTGACAGTTTCCTGGACTGACTCATCAGAGACTGTCCCTGTAACCTGGGTGCTGGGGGGGGGGGGGTGGCACCTGCATCCTATCCTGAGAGACCATTGCCTCCCGCTTGCCCTGACCATCCGCCCCCTGCCACTAGCGGGACCTCTCCGGGCTGCTGTGACAAGCACTCTTAAGTGCTTTTAAGGGGAGACTAGAGGGAGCAGAGCAGCTGACATCACAGGACCAAGGGGAGAAGGGGGAGGGGGGGTGGCTTCACTGCAGGGCCAACTTCACTCCAGCTGGGGCCAGGTTTCACGCGCTGATGCCGCTGTGGCCGGTGAAAAGTCACGGCGCTGTTTGTCCAGAGCCCCTGGAGTCCAGGCTCGGAGTGTCCAACAGCAGCGCGGGAGGGTTGTCGGCCGGCCCGGGCGCCTCCGGGGGCAGCTGTTGGCGCCGCAGCAGCCCGGGTGAACGCCGGCCGCTCGGTTGCGCGGCGCGCTCGGTGAGTTTCCCGGCGGCGCTCCAGAATCCACGCACTCCTCGGGGCGGTGAGCGCGTGGGCTTCACGGGGGGCGGGGGGACGCCGCCAGGGACCCCCCACCCCGAGGCTCCGAAACTTTGCCAAGGTCACCGAGCCCAAGCCGGCCTCCTCTCCGGCGCGAGCACCTGCTCCAGGTGCGGAGCAGGTGGGGCGGCCCGGGGCCTCGCTCGCCTCCCGGATCGCCCCCCTCCCCGGCGGTCCCCCCTCGCCCACGGGCCGGTTCCGCTCCCGGGTGGGTCGGAACCCATCTTTCGGTTGGGTCCCCGGGCGGCAGCTCCCCGCCCTCCGGGGCAACTCGACTTTCTGTTTCCTTTCGCCACGCCGGGCAGGGACGCGCGCGCCCGCCGTCCCCCCCACCCCCATCAGCCCCACGGGCCCCGCGCTTCGCCCCCCACCCCGTTCAGCCCCCCGCATCCACGTGGCGGAGCCCGGGGGGTCGGGACCCCCGCGCGCGGGGAGGCCGGGCGGGCTGGCTCGGCGCGGTGGCTAGAGGGGGGGGCTGCCCGCCGGGCCCGCGCGCGCCGTTGCCCCGGAGACGCCCCCGCCCCCCCGTCCCCCGCCCCCCGCCGCCCGCTGCCCCCTCGGCGCCGCCGCCGCCGCCGCCGCCCGCGCCCGGGCCTACCTTGCTGGTGAGGTCCAGCTCCGGCTCGCCGTTGAGCGCCTCGCCGTCCTCGCTGCAGTCCGAGTCGAAGCCGCCGCCGTGGAGGCGGGCGGCGGCCGCCGCGGCCCGGGCCGCCCCCGGGGAGCTGGGCTCGGGGGCGAACATCGAGGCCGGGACCGGCGCGTCCATCGGGGAGCGACACCGCTCCGCCGCCATCTTTAATAACTTAGGCTAATTCCGAGCCGGCCTCCCCCCCCCCGCCCCGCCCCGCCCGCCCGGCGCGCTCATCTGCATAATTTATGCGCGGCCCCGCCCCCGCCGGGCCCCGGCGCCCCGGCCCCCCGCGCCAATCGCGGCGCGGCGCTGCGGCCGCCTCATGAATAATTAACGAGGCCCAACCCTCCCCCAAACAACAAATGTCTGGGGCCCGTCACGCGTCCGGCTCGCCGCTCGGGAGGGGGCAGCACCGGGTCCACTCTTACCTGCCTCCGAGCCTCCGCGTCAACGGGAACCGAGCCGGGGTTGTGATTGACGGCAGCCGCCGTCCAATGAGGAGAGGGAGCCGCCGTGCACCCGCCTCGGGTCCCTGGCTCCGGCGCTGTCCGGAGGCGGCGCTGGGCTTTGCACATTAGCTCTGCAAAACAATCGGCGGGAGAGCCTCGGGCTGATGGACTGGGGCGAAGTCCAATCTCGTCGCCCGAGCAGTCCCGCGCCTCGGCCGCGTCGCCCCGATAGTAAACGAGGCCAGGCGCCTCCCACTCGATGTTGTGACTCTGGGCCGCCGTCAGTGGCTGCGAGAGCGAGGCCCCACGTGCTGGCAGTCTCCAGACTGTTTCAATAGTAGGATCGATGCCTGGAATACTAGAGCAAGCCAGAGCGAGGCAATTAGCAAAAACGCTGACCTTAGGTCGGGCTCCCCATTCACGGCCTCGGCGGCCAGGGCAATTGCATCAACAGAAAAAAGAGACTGCCAACGGAAATAAAAGCCAATCGGACCTGCGAAGATGAGATCTAGGGGCTGTTAAAATGATTATGGAAGATTTTTTTATTATTATTATGAACATTTTTATGGATGATTTCTTTCCCCTTTCCCCTGTGTCTTCTATTATGGAATATGTCTTCTGTTATGGAATTCACAAGTTTTACAAGTTTTAATATCTAGAATTCCTGTTTCAAAAATCTGACTTGTGGGGTCAGAACGATAGGACAGCGGGGAGGGCGTTTGCCTTGCATGCGGCCGACCCGGGTTCCATCCCCGGCATCCCCAAGGGTCCCCCAAGCATCGCCAGGAGTAATTCCTGAGTGCAGAGCCAGGAGTAACCCTGAGCATCGCTGGTGTGATCCAAAAAGAAAAAAAAATCCGATTTGTGATATTAGTGGAATAGTGGAAAGAGGGTCTGGGGGAATGAAATCTGGTCCACAGGGCAGAGAGGAAGATCCTAGGTGCTCTAGTGGTGAAGGGAAGTACGCAGTAACTTTGTACATCAATTCTATACTCTTGAACATTATTGTAACAATGTTACCTAAACAACAGAAACAGTTTTTCATCTGACAGATTGATGAAATTAAGGATTAGCTCTTATAACAATATGTCTGCTTTCACGTCCCAGTCAGCAAGCCAGAAAGAAGACTTGTTTAGGACCCAAACGAACCATTAAAAAGAGAGAACGGGCTGGAGCGATAGCACAGTGGGTAGGGCGTTTGCCTCACACACAGCTGAACCGGGTTCGATTCCCAGCATCCCATATGGTCCCCAGAGCACCACTAGAAGGAATTCCTGAGTGCAGAGCCAGGAGTAACCCCTGTGCATCGCCGGGTATGACCAAAGAAGCTGAGAGAGAGAGAGAGAGAGAGAGAGAGAGAGAGAGAGAGAGAGAGAGAGAACAGTGAGGTGTGAACCAAAAACCTAAAGATAAAATAAAATTTCAAAAATAAAAGGAGGGGTTAGAGCAATAGTACAGTAGGTAGGATGCTTGTCTTGGAAAGAGCGGACCCAGGGTCCCTCCCCCTGCACCCCAGGGTCCTCTGGGAAGGCGAGAAGTAACCCCAGTGCAAAGCCAGGAGTACCCCCTGAGCACCGCCAAATGGGGCCCCAAAATGAAAATAATAAAAGGGGAAAACAAGCCCAACATGGAGTCTTTGGTACTAAACCTCACTTTATCAAGTACCTATACTGGGATGGAAGAGACAGTACTGCCAGTAGAGCACTTCCCTTGCATGTAGTGGACCCAGGTCCTGATCCCTGGTACCAGATATGGTTCCCCGTGCTCCACCAGGAGTGATCCCTGAGCACAGAACCTGGAGGAAGCCCCAAGCACCTCAGGGTGCAGTGCTCCTTTCCCAAAAGTCAAAAACCAAAAGTAACCTCCAGTAAAAAATGGCCTCAGCTTGGGGCCATTTTGTCACCCTAAACTAAGGAGCAATGTCCTACTCTTCTTTCTAAACAAAGTGTTTTTTTGTTTGTTTTGACAGGGTTCAGGTGGAGGTGTTGAAGGACCATGCAGTGCTGGGGATGGAATTCAGGGTTCCCACAGCAGGCAAGTTCTCCAGCTTTTTGCACTGTTAACTCTGTCAATCATACATGTTTGTGTTTTGTTTTGGGGTTACACCTGGCAGTGCTCAGGAGACATTGTATGTTGCCGGGGAATCGAGCCTGGGTCAGCCACAAATGAGACAAGCACTTTAATGCCTGTTCTAACTCTGTGGCTTTTAATGTCACCTGCCCACAAACAGCTGAGACTCTGGTACAAGAAGTCATCCAACTAAACGGGCAAGTTTCTTTTATTTTTCTTTTATGCCTCTATCAAGAACCACTATTCTACATATCCCTCCGAGGAAGTTAAAAATATTAACAACCCAACTGTACCTCATGGTGTTTAAAAAAAAATTTTCAGAATTTCAAAATCACGTGGCCCTACTGCAGCCACGCGACATCATGTTATTCATAACCAGCAATAGAACACAAATTGTCTACTGTTGCCTTTTCAGCAGATCTGAGTGTTGGGGTAAAATCTCAAATAATAATAGTGGGTTTGGTGTCAAAATATTAAATGTGATAAAAGTAGAGAGAGAGTAATATGGAAATCATCTGCCCCACAGGTAGGGGGAGGGTGTGGGATGGGGGTAGACTGGGGTTTTTGGTAGTGGAGAATGGGCACTGGTGAAGGTATGGGTGTTTCATTGTATGACGGAGACTTAGACCCGAAAGCTTTGTAACTGCTCTCATGGTGATTCAATAAATAAAATCATTTAAAAAAAAATAAAAAGAAAATTTAAAAAAATTAAAAAAAAATATTAACAACTTGGGGCCAGGTAGTACAACATGGTAGGGTGTTTGTCTTGCACGTGGCCAGTTATGGGTTCGATCCCATGGATTTGATCCCTGGCATCCCATATGGTTCACGAGTGATTCCTCAGTGTGGAGCCAGAAGTAACCCCTGAGCATTGCTGGGTGTGACCCAAAAGAAAAAAAAGTTAACATCTTGGGACTGGAGTGATGGTACAATGGGTAGGGCATTTGCCTTGACCTGGGTTCAATCTCCTGCATCCCATATGGTCCTTGGAGCACTGCCAGGAGTGATTTCTGAGCGCAGAGCCAGGAGTACAGGAGTAACCCCTGAGCATTGTGAAGTGTTTCCCCCCCCCCCGCAAGAAAGACAAATTCCCCCCCCCAAATTTGACATCTTGGGGACAGAGAGAAAGTGCAAAGGGTTGCAGCATGTACTTATATACAGAAAGGAAGTCCTGAGTCCATGCCGGAGGCCCCGATTCAGCTCCATAGGGTGTGGTCCTGGATCCCCTGGAGCAGTGCCCAGTCAAATATGCCCCTGAGGTTCCCAAGAACCACAGGAGGGGTTTGGTTACCCTATTTTAAGTTTTTGTTTGTTTTTAGGACACACCCAGTGATGGTCAGGGGTTACTCTTGGTTCTGCGCTCACAAATCAGTCCTGGCAGGCTCTGGGGACCATGTGGGGACCAAACTTGGGTCAGACACATAGAAGGCAGATGCCCTATCACTCTGGGTTCTCATGAGAAACTTTTATTACTCCTTCAACTAACTACCAAGAATAACAATTGGGTGACTTCCCAGAATTAGGGTTTTATGATTTTTTACTGGAAATATTGTCTCTATGAGAGACGCCTCACTATTTAGCAGGACAAACATCTAAAGAGCATCTGGGGGCAGGAGCAATAGCGGGTAGGGTGTTTGCCTTGTATGCGGCCAAGCCGGGTACAATTCCCAGCATCCCATATGGTCCCCTGAACACCGCCAGGAGTAATTCCTGAGTGCATGAGCCAGGAGGAACCCCTGATCATCTCTGGGTGTGACCCAAAAAGCAAAAAATAAATAAATAAAAAATAAAAAGAGCATCTGGCTTCCTCATATGAGACTCTGGCCTCTCACCTGGAAACCCCCAGGCCTCTCTACCATTCTTTCACTCAGGATCTAGACTCATTTTGGTACTGACCAGCGAGGTGAGGCTGGCGCGTGGTCCAGAATGCTGTGTATGTGGTGTCCTGTAATTTTACTTGGCTGTTATTTCTACATTTTTGGGGGGAGGGGGTAACACCCGGAGATCTCAAGGGTTATTCCCAGTTACTAGGAATAACAAAAACTGGGGACATTAGCAGAGGGTAGTGGGCACTGGTGAAGTGACTGGTGATGGAACATTGTATGCATAAAATCATCATTAATAACTCCGTAACTTTGTGATTCACGGTGATAAAAAAAATATGAAAAAATGAAGGGAAGTGAAGTTCCCACTAAAAGAAAATCCTGCCAAGGTTTAAGGAACCATGTGGTGCTGAAGATTTGAGTCAGGGGTTTGCAAGAACCTTAACCACTCTATCTCTCTGGTCTTCTTTCTCCTTTTAATGTTTAAAGTTCACTTGATGATTCAACCAGCCTAAAGTAAAATATTGACTGAGATACTCCCTGTAATCAAACAAAAGTCTAACAATATTCCTGCCTCCACTATACATAGGAGACACCTAGGAATGCTCCAGACCTTGTTACAAGAAAGCAAACCAGGAAAAATAATTCCAGTACTAGGGCCAGAGTGATAGTACAGCAGTGAGGGTGTTTGCCTTGCCTGTGGTAGAACCGGGTTCGATTCTCTGGCATCCTGTATGGTCCCCTGAACACCGTCAGGTGTAATTCCTAGGTGCAGAGCCAGGAGAAAGCCCTGAGTATTGCTGAGTGTGGGCCCCCCCCCAAAAAAAATGATGTACTGATCTTACAGGAGGATTAGCAGCAAATTAACTTGTCTGTGTAAAACACTCATAACTCTGTTCCCAAGCCTCAATAGTCCTATCTGACGTTAATACAACTGTTTACAGATGAAAACTGTTTATAGATGAAAACTGTAAGATAAGTAAAAACACGTGGGAATTGGCAGCTGGGCTTGTGACATGGCCGGCAAACTCATGCTAAGTGGTCTCATCCTTGGAGACGTGCAGAAATGTAGAAACCAAAGATCATTATCGAGGGACCTGGCCCCACAGCGTCAGCGCTAGAACCTCATACCTTCCACGTGCGAGGTCCTGGGACATAGGTGTAACAGATCTTTACCAGTGCCCTGGACAAAAAAACCCAGAGTGGGCAGTTAAGGTGAAAAATGCTTGTCGATAGATATGCCTCCCAACAATCCCGAGGAGCAAGGGGCAAAAAAATCCAGGTGGGGCTTGTTTTCCACCTAGGCTCACTTGATGCGCTTACGAGAGGCGTGAGGGACCGGAGAGACAGCACAGTGCGGGAGGGCGCGTTTGCCTTGCACGCGGCCGACCCCCCAGCATTCCATAGGGTCCCCCCCAGCATCCCTGAGTGCAGAGCCAGGAGTAACCCGAGCATCGCTGGGTGTGACCCAAAAAGCAAAAAAAAAAAAGAGGCGTGGAGGAAAGAGGGCCTAGGGGACAGCCGCGGGGGGCCCAGAGGCCCGTGTGCTAAAGTCCCAGCAAGGAGCTGAAATCGAATCCTCCCATTCCACCGGAGAAACAGGCCCCAGGTTTCCGCGCTCCGCGGACGCACGGGCCCCTAGCGAGGGGAGGCCGGTGCACGGAGGGCGGGAACACCAGATGGTCCCGCACGCAGGCGCGGTCCGGTCCGGTCCGAGACGGGAGGGGAGGGCCGGGGCGAGCATCCAGGCGGGCCGCCCCGCCCTGCTTTGCTTTAGCCCGCAGAGAGACCAACGGGGCGCGGGAAACGGGCAAACGCCCCCTCGCGCCTTCCCGCCGCAACCCCCGGCTTGCGGGGCCCGCAGCCGCCCGCCGGGGCCCCGGGAGCGGGCGCGCCGCTGACGTCAGAGCGACGCCCGCGGTGACGTCACGGGCGGGCGGGGCGAGGGCGGGCCCGGGCGGGCGTTTCCGGAGCACGCGCGGGGCCCGGGGCCGCTGACGTCGGGCTCAGGTGCTCGCCCGCCTGCCCGGCCGAGCGCGGCCCAGCTGGCGGCCCGCAGCTCCCGGGGGGCGGCCCGCGGCGGAGAGGGGGGCGCCGGGCAGCCCGAGGGGCCCCGCGCTGCGTCCACGGGCCGGGCCGGGAGGCGTCCGGAGCGCGGCCCCACCCCTCGCGGGCCTGCGGCTGCTGCCCGGGACCGGGGGCTTGACCCGGCCGGGCCGCCCCGCGGAGCCGCGGCGCGCGCGGGGCCGCGTGGGCGCCTTTCGGGGCGGCAGCAGCGGCCGGCGGGGATGGACGGCGGCCCCCTGGCACCCCGCCCGGCCCGCCGCCCCGCGCCGGCCGCCGCCCGTTAGCCGCGCCGGTCCCGCGCGCCGCCGCCGGCCACCCGCCCGGGGCCCGCTGTCCACCCCCCGCAGTCGGTGGCATCCAAGAGATGGAAGAGAAGGAGCGATGTGACCGGTCCGGGTCGCTGCTCCTGCACTGAGGCCTGGTTGGCGCCTGCCGGAAGGAAAAACCCTGCCCGGAGATCGGGGTGTTTGGATTTTTTTTTAATTTTTTTTTTTTTTGGTGTGCGTGTGTTTAGAAGGGGGGGTGGGTGGGAGGAAAGGGGGGGCGTGGGGAGCATCCTCGAAGCCAGAGTTTAGCTTGACTACGATTGAAAGAAAAAGAAGAAAAAAGCTTGCTTGCACTTTTGACCGTGAAATAAACTCATCCCAAAGTTGTTGGGCCGTTGAGAAGCGAGACGAGCTGGCGGTTTGGTTGCCGTTCCCCTTCTCCTCCCCGTGACAAAGCATAAATCAGGGAAACCAGAGAATCGTGGGCCTCGGGAAGCCTCCGAAGACGGCGCTGGCCTCGGCCCTCCGCGGAGAAGGCTGGGGCGCTTTGAGGCCGCTCTGCAACCGAAGGGGGGAAAACCAAACCAAACCAAAAAAACATGAGTTGTGTGCCATGGAAGGGAGACAAGGCCAAATCCGCGTCTGTGGAGCTGCCCCAGGCGGCGCCCCCGGAGATCTACCACGAGAAGCAGCGCCGGGAGCTGTGCGCCCTGCACGCCCTCAACAACGTCTTCCAGGACGCCGAGGCCTTCACCCGGGAAACTCTGCAGGAGATCTTCCAGAGGTATGGACCTCGGGGCGGCTTCCGGGATTACGGGGGCGGGGGGGGGTGGGGGTGAGGGGCAGCGCAGGGAGGTCTGCGCGGTAATGCTCTTGGTTGCCCGTTAAGTATTGATGCTCCATGCTGTTGGAGAAACGGGCGTCCCCTCCGATGCATTGTTGATGGGGCTCAGGGAAGGGGAGTTTAGTTGCCTCGGATAAACAGAGCGCGTGCGGGGCTGGGACTCGAATTCTGCTTGGGCTGGGCCGGGCCTTTGCCTACATTGTTTTGATAGCAGCCCAGGAGGTGTTGGCCAGGGGGCAGGGAAATTTCATCAGTTCTGGTGGCTTGTAGGTAGCTGAGCTGATTGTTTAGAGCCCTCTGTTCTTTCTACTTCCTCCAAAGACCTCTCTCTCTCTTTTATTTACTTATTTATTTATTGCTTTTTGGGTCACACCCGGCAATGCACAGGGCTTACTCCTGGATTTGCACTCAGGAATAACTCCTGGTGGTGCCCAGGGAACTATATGGGATGCTGGGAATCGAACCCAGGTCGGCGCCGTGCAAGGCAAACGTCCTAGCCGCTGTGCTATTGCTCCAGCCCCAAGACCTCTCCTTCCCCCCCTCTTTTTTTTTTTTTGGCGGGGATGGGGGGGTGAGTCCGCACTGGGTGGTTTCGGGGCTTCTCCAGCGTGGGTGCTCGCCAGGGGTGCACCCCCCCAGCCCTTTGAACTCTCTCTTACTCCTAAATGACCTCCGCTTTGCCCAAGGCCTGGATTCAGGTTGCTGGAAGTTAAGTTCTGCTCTTCTAATCCTCCGGGGTCTGGGGACTGAGATGAAGCCACCCCAGCATCAGCTGGGCCTCTGCAGCCTGTAGCAACTTTGACCGCTGGTTGGTCTCCTGGGTCCCGCCTCAGGCAGGGTCTCAGCACAGTGCCGGCGGAGCCCGAAAATCTTTTCCAACTCTTCCACAGGGGATTTTGGTCTCCTGTGGGCCTCAATTAAAGCTGGGAACGACCTATTTGGAGCGAAGCAGCCGGATTGCCCTGATAGTCCTTCTCTTAAGAGACACTGAGAGCACGTGTTTCCCAGCGCTCCCCATGACCCAGGAATGCCTCGTGGGGGTCCGAGTGTCATTTGCAGAGTGGCTGTCCTCCAGGAAGCCCGCTCTGGGGGTCAGATGGTTTGTTTCTGATCAGCCAGTCATCAGAGCGGAAGAAAGGAGGCCAGTGATGAGACTGCTCCCCCTGGCCACCCACGAATGTTTCTACTTCGAATTGGATATTGGCAGAGTCTTTCTTAACCTGAGTAGGACTAGGGGAAGAGGGCTCAGAAGCAAGACCCCAAAGTGTGCAGTGTCCCTTGTAACATATAAGTCTGTGGCTGTCGCTTGGTGATTCCCAGAAACTGGATTCGGGGGGTGGGGAGGGAATAGTTTGCCCAGTTTCATTCCTGAGCAAATGTCTACACTTGAAGAATTTTGTGTTGTTCATTAATTTTGGTTGTTTTGGTTTTGGGTCACACTGGGGCGGTGCTCTGGACCTAACTCCTGACTCTGTGCTCAGGGATCCTTCTTGAGGGGCCTGGGGGCCGTATGGGGTGCTGGAGATTGAACCCCAGGTCAGCTGTGTGCAAACAAGCATCCTGCTCACTGTACTGTCTCCAGTCCCAGTTGGGAACTTCCTATGATTTTTTTTCTTTTTGGGGGTCACATCTGGCAATGCACAGGGGTTACTCCTGGCTCTGAACTCAGGACTTACTCCTGGTGGTGCTCAGGGAGGGGATCCCAGTATGGGATGCTGGGAATCGAACCTGGGTCGGCCGTGTGCAAGGCAAACGCCCTATCCGCTATACTATCTCTCCAGCCCCACTTCCTATGAATTTGGAGACTGATATGACGTGGGTGACTAGTTTCCTCGGTGTAAGTGCTGCCCTGTGCCAGTCCCCCTCGTGCCCATCTGAGGAGGGATGTTAGTTTCCTTTTTCCCAGTGGAAATTGAGGCACTGAAACGTAACCACTTAGCAGGATTTAGATACAAGCTTTGCTGTCTCTGGGCTTGCCCTGCTCACTGCTCTGCTGCTTCTTAGGGTCTGGGCAGTGGGGTCTGGGCAGCCTTGTCAGAGCAATTTCGTCCTCAGAAGCTGTTTGCCCTGCCTGGGAGGGCGGGTGGTTGGGCCTGAGTCAGGTCCGAAGGATTCCCCGAAGTTGCAGAATGCTCCAGCTTCGGCAAGTTATACACATCTCAGTTTCCTGTTGGCATGATGTAAAGATTCTTTCTCGATAGCTAATAGCAAATATTACGTAGAATTAAATATCTTTTCTGTTTGTTTTTGGGGCGCCACACCCAACAATGCTCAGGGGTTCTTCCTGGCTCTGCACTCAGGAATCACTCCTGGCGGTGTTTTCGGGGGACTGTAAGGGATGCTGGGGATCGAACCCGGGTTGACTGCATGCAGGGCAAGCCTCTGCTCGCTGTGCTAACACTCCACCCCCCAGCGTAAAATTACTATTATTCTTGAATTTTATTATTACTTGGCCATACCCAGTGGTGCTCAGGGATCACTCCTGGTGGGGCTCAGAGGACCATCAGTGGTGCCGGGGATCGAACCCAGGTCAGCCACATGCACAGTAAGGGTTCGACCCTTTGAGCTTTCTCAGCCAGGGTGGAATTTTTAATTTTTGTTTTTAGGTTTGGGGGGGGGGCGGGGTACACCTGATTCTGCTCAGGGACCACCTCTGGTTTTTGTGCTCAGTGGACCCTGTGTGGAGCCAGGATTCGAACCAGGATTGCAGCTGCGAGCTAGGCAAGTGTCTTAACCTTCGTATGGTATTGTCTCCACCACCCAGGCTGGGGGTTTTTGAAAGCAAACATTTACTCGGCTGCCTGCAGGGTGCTGGGTGCTGCTGGGCACTGTGGAGAAAACAGTTGGACGGGAAGTCCAGCTCTGAGCCCCACCTTGCCCGGAGGGTGCAGAAGGTAGAATCATGGGCGTGGAATAGTTCCAGAGGAGGAAGGGGGTCTCTTTGGATCTTAAGGACCTGAACTTCAACTTCCCTGATGTTCTGATCTTCTCTGGAGCGGCGGCTGGTGAACAGTAGGAATAATTCTCTGTGTTGTCCAGCTTGGCTCCGTCCACTTGCTGATACCACGCAGAAGCGCCGGAAGGCCACCTCCTGGCCGAGAGAGATCCATCACGGTGCGCCTGCAGCCAACTCCGGTTCCACCTCTGTACTGGGGTGAAAGCATGTGGGTGACCTCAGCACAGAGGTGGTGATAGCCCCTTAAAAAGACATCTCCGGGCCGAAGAGAGAGTGCAGCGGGGGAGGGCGCTTGCCTTGCACACAGCCAACCCTGATTCAGTCCCCAGCCCCCCATAAGGTCCCCAAGCCTGTCAGGAGTGAGCCCTGAGCACAGAGCCAGGAATCAGCCGTGAGCACAGCCGGGTGTGGCCCAAAAACAAACCAGAAAAAGACATCTCCTTTGAATTCCTGATGTTGCAGTAATTGATCTCAGGTTCTTACTGTTTCCAAGCGTTGCGCGACCCTCACGTTCAGTTTCATCACCCTGAGTGTTCCGGAAGTTAGACTGGGTGGGGACTCGGCTTCGTGGGGGCCTGCCCGCTCCTCTTTTCTGTCCAGCAGGGGCCTGGGGAAACTTCAACCGCCCCGGTCCTTGGGCAGGTTGATCCGGAAGATGCTTTAGCGTTTGACCTGAAACAGGTAAGAGAGTAGCAGCCCCGTGGTGGGGACCGGAAGTGCCCTGAGCCCAGCTCATGGGATCTGCTGGCAGGGAGGCCTGGGTCGCAGCTGGACCACCCTGTCTGTGGGCAGGCAGTGGCCAGGCAACAGGCAACAGCTCCCGCGGCAGTGTTCCACGCGAGTGGATTCTCCAGCGGATGAGAGGATTCCCGGTGTAGGCTGAATGGGCGGGATGAGAGCCTGGGAATTGGGAGAATTCCCGGAGCAGGCTCAGAAGCCCTGGTGGGAAGTGAGCTGGGGTTCGGGAAGAGATGGGGAGGAAACGGGGTCAGAGCAGCAGAATGTGAGGCGGAAGTGGGCAGGCCTGGAGAAGAGCTCGGGGACACCAGTTCTTGGGAGGTGTCCCCCCAAATCGTGCCTGGTCAGCTGCATCTGGGACCCGTGGCAGACCCTTGTCTCCTCACACCCGGGGAGTAGGAGCCTGTTTGGGGTGCTCAGGAATCTGCAGGGAGCCAGAGCCTGATGCCGCCCCTTACCGCCACCTGGGTGCCCACATGCGTGGCCCTGTGAGTGTCCCTGGGTTGCAGGGCCGAGGGTTTGGGTTATATCGGAGCCTTGGCACCTCTGGTGGCCGGGGAGTGCCGGGAGAGGGGTCTCCCGCCCGACCCACTTGCTTTCACTCCATCTCCTTGGACCCGCAGAACCGGGGCCCTGCTGGGGCCTTTGTCCTATTAAGCCACCTTGCTGCCTGGCCCCAGGGACTCCCTTCCCTCCAAGTCTGCAGCTGCCACCTCCCACTCGCCCCGGGTCCTCACCCCAACACAGCAGCCACAGGCTGGCGGCCAGTCGGTCAAGTCGCCACACTACTGGGGTTTTGCTGGAAGGTTTCTGGAAGGATTGTAGGAGTCTGGGCTTGCCCAGCGTTCTCCCCTACCGCAGTACATGGCCGTGGCAGGGGGTGTCCCCTGTCACTCCCCCACCCCCATAGCCCCAGAGACAGTGCGGAAGCCCCGGAAAGGGATGCTGGCACTTACCAGGGAAAAACATACACAGTCGTCAGCACGGGCCAGGCATGCGCTGGGCCTAGCGTTGTGGCGTTGACAGGAGAGAGCGGGTCCCACGGCTGTTTCTAGAGGGACAGTGGCAGGGAGGACGCGGGCTCTCGTGACCGCAGTGAGTGATGGGCAGAAAAGGCCTGGAAGGCGGCTGGGCGAGGCAGTGGGGAGGGTCTGCGGGCGGGCGAGGGTCTGGACGCACCCAGAGCCCAGGGGGGGTAGGGGGGATTAGAGCTGGGGCCGGAATGGATCTTCTGTACTGCTCTTGTTTGGGGACCCGACTGGGCCCCCCCACATGTGGCACATTGGCTGGGCTTACCAAGCTGCTCCTGCCAGCCAAGGAGTTCAGCTTTGGGGCTGGAGAGTGGCAGAGGGGGAGGTGCTCACTGCATCGGCCACCCAGGTTCAGTCCCTGGCACTGCGATGGTCCTGGGGCATCCCCAGGGGTCATCCTGAGCAAGACCAGTGTTCAAAAGCCTCTTTCCCCCCCAGAAAAAATCTTTATGAAGTCAGAAATTTCTGTGGTCGATAGTCCCTTGGTCTGTTGTCCTTTGCGTTCTGTTTTGGGGCCGCACCTGGCTGTGTCTGGGACTCACTCCTGGCAGTGCTCAGGGGACATGGGAGGTCCCAGGGACTGCGCCTGGGTAGGTGGTGCGCGAGGCCAGTTAAACCCTGAGTCTTCATGCCAGGGTTTAACGCCTGTGCCAGCACATGCCAGGGAGGGCCCCCTGCCTGCAGAGATAGCTGTTTTCCCAGCAGCTGGCCTAGGATCCTTTTTTGGGGGGAAGGCGTAGGCGGTCAAGAGGGTGGCTCACCTAGTGGTGCCCAGGGGCAGCCCTGGCCCTGTGGAAGCGTCTGCCTGTCTCGCCTCCGTCCTGTCCTCCACGGCTTGGGGTTAGGGCCACTCCCTGGACATCTCCCCTTTCCCTCCGCGCCCTTCCTTCAGGAGACGGTTCCCCCCCCCCCCCCACTGCCCTGCAGGGCCTCCTGGGACAGCTGTGGGGGTAGGGGGGCAGGGTCCGGAATGTGGCTTCCTGGTGGGCCTGGGTTGCTCTGTCTGGCCCAGCTTGATTCTCTGTGCTTCAGTTGGAGGGAAAAAAAAGAAAAGCTTTTAGGAAGTGTTTTATATGCAGGCAGATTTGACCCGCCCTTGGTTGAGGCCTGGCCAAGACCTTCCTCCTCCTCCTCCTCCTCCTCCTCCTCGCTACTATTTCTTTTCCCTGCCCGAACCCCTGGGGCCTTTGCATATTTAATAATTAATGCTGAGCCACCATGCCGGCCTTAAGCAGGAGGTACTCAACTGTAAAGAAAACAGCCGAAGCAGGTGAGTCAGAATGTCGAAGACTTTTTTTTTCCTTTTGTTTCTCTTTTTTTTGGCTTTTTGGGTCACACCCGGCGATGCTCAGGGGTTCCTCCTGGTAGCGCTCAGGGAACCCTATGGGATCCCGGCGATTGAACTCGGATCAGCTGCGTGCAAGGCAAACGCCTTATCTGCACTGTACTATGGCTCCAGCCCCCAGAATGTCAAAAACTTTAAAAAAATAAATAGTGGGGCTGGAGTGACAGCACAGCAGGTAGGGCGCTTGCCTTGCACGCAGCCGACCTGGGTTCAATCCTCAGCTTCCTATAGGGTCCCCCAAGCGCCGCCAGGAGTGATTCCTGAGTGCAAAGCCAGGAGGAACCCCTGAGCATCGCTGGGTATGACCCAAAAAGCAAATAAATAAAATAAATAGAAACAAAGGGGGATGCTTAGGAAGACGAAGGGGCCCGTGGGTCGGGGGCTGCCGCCTCCCTCAGGGAACCCCCTGAGCACACGCACATGCTTTGCTGGGGACGCGCCCCCAAGTCCGCTCCGCGGGCTGATATCCCCCTCCTCTCCCCCCCCAGGCTGTCCCCCAACACCATGGTGACCCCCCATAAGAAGGGCGTGCTGGGCAACGGGAACTACGACGTGAACGTCATCATGGCAGCCCTGCAGACCAAAGGCTACGAGGCGGTGTGGTGGGACAAGCGCAGGTACCGGGGTTCGGGGAGGTGGTGGTGTGGGGGTGGTGGGGAGTGTGGGGGCTCCCGGAGCCTGAGCCCGCTCTGACCCTCCCGCAGGGACGTGGGCGCCATGGCCCTCACCAACGTCATGGGCTTCATCATGAACCTGCCGTCCAGCCTGTGCTGGGGGCCGCTGAAGCTGCCCCTCAAGCGGCAGCACTGGATCTGCGTCCGCGAGGTGGGCGGCGCCTACTACAACCTGGACTCCAAGCTCAAGACACCCGAGTGGATTGGCGGGGAGGGCGAGCTCAGGTACGGTGGCGGGACCCGGCCGGAGGAGGTGTCGGGGCGGTCGAGAACATCCTGGGCACGGAGACAGCCCTGCCAGCCCCGCAGACTGTTGTTCAGGGCGAGGACAGCATGCCCCCAGGGCTTGGGAATCTGCCTCTTCCTTTTTTTTTTTTTTTTTTTTGGTTTTTGGGTCACATCCAGCGATGCTCAGGGGTCACTCCTGGCTCTGCACTCAGGAATTACTCCTGATGGTGCTCGGGGGACCCGATGGGATGCCGGGGATCGAACCTGGGTCGGCCGCGTGCAAGGCAAATGTCCTCCCTGCTTGGACTATCGCTCCGGCCCTGCCTCTTGCTTTGAAGCCCTCGACGGCAGAGTCCCCGGGCCCAGGCGGGAGGCGGGAGGGAGTTTCGGAGAGTCCCAGGGAACCTGCCCAAGCAGGTGCTCCTGAGACAGTGTCCCGGCACCGGGAACCCTGGGGCGGCTGGGCATGGTGCCCCGGATGGGGACGGGTGGCCGGGTGGGCAGCTCATGCACGCCCCCCTCTCCTCTCCTCTCCTCGCCACAGGAAATTTCTCAAACAGCATCTGCGGGGGAAGAACTGTGAACTGCTGCTGGTGGTGCCCGAAGACGTGGAGGCCCGTCAGAGCTGGAGGGTGGACATGTGACAGCTGCCGCGTCCCCAGCCAGACATCTCAGCAGGCGGACCTCCGCTCAGACAGTGCAATAGGACGGTGGGGACTGTGGCGAGCACCGACCAGCATGACTGTTCCCGGGAAGGAGGGGAGGCGCGGGGCAAGCTCTGGGCGACCCTGTTCTCTCTGGAGGGGAGTAGGTGAGGGGAATCCCTGTGTCCCTTCCTGTGCCCCCGTGCGAGCACTCTGGGGGGGGGTCCCCGCGCTGACCCGCCCACGCCCCCTCTCCCAGCACTGTGGGCTCTGAAGGTTTGGTGTGCCAGCCAGTTGGCTGGCCGGCTGTGAACGGGGGGGCCTCTCAGGAAACCAGTTCCAACCCCCGAAGCGGTACAGCATGTAATCTCCCTCCGGCCCTGGGCGCCAGCCCCGTTTTGAAAGGTGGTCCGAGGCCAAAGTTCTGCGATGAGATGTTCTCAGTTTCACATGCCAGCTGGATGGATCCGGCAAGATGCTGGTGTGACAGGGTGAGCTAAAGAGGCCTAGAGAGGCCGGACAGGGTCCCCCCCGGGCAGCCCTAGGAATGGGCTGCCCGACCCCACCCCCTGCGGCTTTGCTACATGGATTAAGGGGGCTCTGGTAGGGTCTGAGGTACCAGGTGGCGGCTCTGCCCTCCGCATCTGGACAGGTGGGCGAGGGTGGGGGGTGGGAAGATGAGCGGCTCAGGAGAGGCCGAGAGTGGGCAGGTGGGGAGCCGCAGAGCCCCCAGGGGGGCTGGTCCCCAGCACGGTCAACTCCCCGTCATTCCTTCACAGTGACTGAGGACTGACCCTCCCCTACCTCTTGAAATTGCTGTAGGCCACTTTCCTCCTGTTCAGCGTGGGAAAGGACCCGGGCTGCAGCCGCCTCGGCCTGTCAGCCCGGGACACCTCAGTGTCCCGCAGGCCAGGGTGGTGGCCCCTTCGGGGTGGGGGAGGGGTTGCACAGGCGTGCCAGGCCCCAGCAAGCTTCACGGGGCGAAGCCTCGGCCTCCTCCCCGCCGTGACTGGAGTGCATGTTTACACCAGCACTTTCTCTGCACATGGATCTTCAATCCCACAAGGCCGTTTTTTTACGCTAAGAGGCCACCGGGCGGCCACCGCATTCCAGCCTCACGGCAACTGGCCACAGTCTCTTCCGCACCCTTTTTCTACAGCAGCCCTGCTTGGCACCCCAGGGAGCTCCTGGCCCTGCACACTGACATTCCAGCCACCACCAGCCCGCCAGCCCCAGGCAGCTTGCCGGCGGCGAGCAGCGTCCGGGGGAGCAAAGCCATCTTCTGGGAAGAGGAGCGCAAACACTTCAGGGCTGGTTTCTGTTCACGTCCAATCTGGTGCTTAGGACAGGGACCAGTGCCGACGCCCGCTTCCTTTCCGAGAGGGGCGGGCCTGACCCTGATGCCCAATAAAGGCAACCCTAGGCTTTTTGTTCTCGCTTTGGTTCCTTTTTTTTTTTTCGTTGGCCTTGTGCTGGGTTTGTTTACAGAAGATGTATTTTGTTTAACCAAATATTAAAAATGAAAACTGTACAGAAATCTTGTCTGCCTGGATTCCACATAGACAGGGAAAAGGTCACTTCTGTTCTGGTATAAAAGGGAGCCAAGGGGTTGGGGAGAAAGTATAGCAGGAGGAGGGCTTGCCCTGTGAGTAGTCAACCCAGGTTTGATCCCCAGCACCCCAAGTGGTCCCCGAGCCTTCCAGGAGAGATCCTGAACACAGCCACGTATGGTCCAAAAATAACCGAAAAGGGAACCAGTCGAACACCATTTCACGCAAGGCTGTTTTGGCAAGACCTTTCACCTCAGTTGGGCCGGAGCGACAGAACAGCAGGCAGGGCAGTTGCCTTGCATGCAGCCAACCTGGGTTTGATCCCCAGCACCCCATAGGGTCCCCTGAGCCTCCTCAGGAGTGACCCCTTAGTGTCCAGTCAGGAGTAAGCCCCGAGCATTGCTGGGTGTGGTCCTAAAGGTCCTAAGATCAAAAAAACTTCCTTGCAGAAACCAGTAAAATAGCTCATAAAATTTACAAAAGTTCCTGTAGCAATTTGAAGAACCCCAATTCTGATCTAACAAAAAGACTAGAATTTCTTGGCCAGCGGTGACAGGTGGCTTGGCAGGGGTGATGGAGGGCCTTGCTGGGTGCACAGGATCCCGACTATCCGGGTTTGAATTTGGATGTGGTGCTTTCTGTGGCATCTTGGACAATTAATATTTGTGGAGTACAAACCTCCAGTTTATCGAGTTGACAGGTGAATCACAAATGCAATTAAGGGCCAGCAAGACATGCTGGAGCCCCTGGGTTTGACTACAGGCATCAACGTCACGGTCCTCCAAGCAACAAACCAGGGGCATCTCAGCCTTCCTCACCGGAAGCCCAAGATGCACTCACCTGCCTGTCTTGCCTGCTGGGCATAATTACTTAACAGTCTGCTTTGCAGTAAACCGTCAAACTCCTGTAATTTATTGACTTCAGTGAAAATAGTCTGAGGTGTGTACCCTCCAGAGTCCAGCATATGGCTAGGCTGGAGGAAAGGCTACATGCCAAGCCTGGTGGTTACACGTTAACTACAACCACAGACCATCTGCATTACTTCTGAATGTAGTTTATCCCAGTAATTCAAAACTCAAGCAATGAACAGGGCTTATCTCCAGTGGCTCATCTCAATAATTACACCAGAATAAGTTGTATCTGCCACCTTTCCCGAGACTAGAAATTGGCACTAAATTATCCAGTAAATTTTTGGTATGTCATTAGAGACCAGAAACTAATCTTGGGGTGATGCTGAGGTCACTCCTGGCTCTGCACTCAGAATTACTCCTGGCAGTGCTGGGGTTGGGGGTGTCCACCCCATGTGAAAGGCAAATCACCCACCGCACTCTCCTGACCCTGTGTGAATTATTTTTGTTGGTAAATCAGAAAGTGTCTAAATCCCGAATAGGCAAAAATTGCTATTGAGGTTCTTGCTGAAAAGAAATTCCTTTTCACTCGTGGTAACCTGTATGTGACTTGTACTAAGGGATTGGTGTTAAGATAGCAGTGCTACAATGTAGTACAATGCAGCTGTTAGAAAAGATGAAGTCATGAAACTTACATACAAGTGGTACTACATGGAAAGTATCCTGCTAAGCGAAATGAATCAGAGAGGGCTATAGAAAGATTGCATTCATCTGGGGGATATAAAGTAACAAAATAGGAGATTAATACCCAAGAATAGCCAAGATCAGTGCAAGGAGGATTACTCCATAGCTTAGAGGCCAGCCGGGCATTTTAGGGGAAAGGGCAGCTCAGATAGAGAAGGGAGCACCATATAAAGGGTGTCTGGAGGATGCTCCCAGGAGTGGAGATGCATATTGAAAGTTATGGACTGAACATGACTGCCACTCAATGCCTCTTTTGCAGACCACAACACCCAGAAGGAGAGAACAAAAGGGAATGCCCTGCCACAGAGGCAGGGTGGGATGGGGGGATGGGGGGTGGGGGGTGGGAGGGATACTGGGATCCATGGTGGTGGAAAATGGGCACTGGTGGAGGGATGGGTATTTGATCATTGTATAGTCGAAAACCAAGCCCAAAAACTTGTAAATCTACAACTGGTGTTTCACTAATAAAAATTAAAAAAAAAAAAAAAGATAGCAGTGCTAGCTTAGATAAAAACCTGAAGGGCAGAGGCTGACGTGATAGCACAGCAGGGAAGGGGTTTGCTTTGCACACAGCCAACCTGGGATCGATTCCCAGCATCCCATACGGTCCCCTGAGCACCACCAGGAGTAATTCCTGAGTGCAGAGCCGGGTGTGACCACCCCCCCACCCAAAAAAAGTGAAGGGCATCATGGACTCTCAATAATGTCAGAGTTGGGGAGGTGGCTCAGGGGTGGGGCCGGGCCTTGCCTGTGGAGGTCCGGGTCCAGTTTCCGGAAGCCCCTGGTCCCTGACGGAGGCTCTGGCCCCCAAACCAGTAAAGGACCTCAAAGTGTGTACCGTATGCATCTGGATGACACGTTCAGGTGGAATCATTTTTTAATCTTCTAAATACAAAAAATGAGCAGTGATTTTTTTTTTCTTCATACACACAGACGTTAACAGCCGGAGTGTGCGGAGGAGCTGACCCCTGTTGCTCCCTTCAGACTGCGATCAGCAGCGGCCGCAGGGTCGCCCTGACGCTCCCAGGACACCCCGGTGTTGTTCACTCCTCCCCCATACGCCACGCTTCAGAACAAAACAGTAATGAATGGGGGAGGGGCCCTCCCCGCCACCAGATGGTGAGTGAGGGTCCCCGGCGACGGCAGCGGGGGTGCCAGGGCAATGCTGAGCAGGAATAACCGTCTGCGCTGCAGGGCTCTGCTATCAGGAGGGAGGCAAGGGGAGGCGCCATCCGGCCCTGGGAAGCCTGTCCGAGACAGTGTCTGGGGCGCCATCTCCTCGCAGGGTTCAGACAACCCCATGCGCCAACGTTTAAAAACACTCCAGATAAGACAGCAGTTCAATCACTATTGACTTTGCAAACTTCTCCCACTAAGACAGGTCGAACAGCCCGGCCACGATCTAGATCTTTCCAGGAAGTGGAGGCAGAGCCCCTGGCATTCCTCCTGACAGCCCAGTGTTGGGCCCTAGAAGGATCTGGAAAAGAAAAGGGAAGAGGTCACAACGGGTAGGGCGTTTGCCTTGCACATGGCCGACCCAGGTTTGATTCCCAGCATCCCATATGGCCATATGGTCCCCCGAGCACTGCCAGGAGTGATTCCTGCGTGCAGAGCCAGGAGGAATCCCTGTGCATTGCCGGGTGTGACCCAAAAAGCAAAAAAAAAAAGGAGAGGGCATCAAGCACTGTACAGACCTAGCGACGCCACGGCTCATCCCCAAAGCTCAGGCAATAAGGCAATCACCAGCCTGGGCACAGCCAGTACCCGGGGGGCGGGCTGCGACCCCACCCCCACCCCCACCTGCTCCACACCGGCGGGGCGGGTTCCACCTCTCATTCACCGGCTCACCTGCCGCTGCTGCAGCTGCTGCTGCTGCTCCATCTGCAGCTTCTCCGTCTCGAAGACCACCGGGAGGACCAGGATCATGAAGGAGGTGGTCCCGATCCACAAGGCGGCGCGGGAAAACCTGCGGGCGAGGGCGAGCGAGGCGGCTGGCAGGGCACCCCGCGGGCACGCTCGGGCCGGGAATCTGCACGCGCACGTGAGCGCTCGGCCCCGCGCCGCGAGAACCCCCCCCCACCCCGCGACCCGTGCAGACGTCACGGCAAAGGCCCGGGCAAAGGTCACGGCGCCCCGGGCAAGGTCACGGCCCTCCCGGGCACCTCCCCCGCGCCGCCCCCCTCACCTGTACATCTTCTGAGCCACAAAGACGGAGAGGTCAAACGTGGCCCCCGCGGCGGAGCGGACGCGCTCCGGGAACATCTCCGTCAGCCCCCACAGCCGCTCCGACAGGGTCTCGTCGAGCTGCGGGGGTCCAGGCGGGGCTGAGCCGAGGCCGCGAGCACCCGGCGCCCCCAGCCCCCGCCGCCGAGCCGCGCCGCCCTCCCCCGACCCCGCCGCGCGCCCAGCCCGCGCCTCCCCCGCGGCCCGGCCCGCCCCCGCCGCGCCCGCGCACCTCGTCGTCGTCGTCCTCCTCCAGCTCCTCCTCGGTCTTGTCGGAATCGCCCTTCGGAACCAGCTCGTCGGCGGGGACGGGAGCCCCGGGGCCGGCGGAGACGGCGGCGGCCATGGCTGTCGGGGGAGGGGAAAACGCCGGAAGCGGAAGGGAGGCGGCGAGAGGTGCGCGCTCGGCGGCCAGAGGGGCTCTTCCGGTAGCCGGAGGTTGGCGGGGCGGGGGAGAGCGCCACCTTCCGGCCAGGGAGGTCTCTCGTTCGCCGCCTTCGCTGCGTTCGGCAGGGGCCTGACGTCAGCGGGCTTACGTAAAGGCCCAGAGGCCGGGAGCTGTCGCAGAAATTCTGTCGGGTTAGTTTGAAACCTGCGTTTTACAGGAAGGAACCCCAGGGAGTCTCCTTGGGCGCGGCAAAGGTCCAGTTCCATCTCCCGATGGAGAGATTTGGAGATTTATTAAGTTTCTCGGGGGCCGGAGCGATAGTCCAGCAGGTAGAGCGTTTGCCTTGCACACGGCTGACCCGGGTTTGATCCCCGGCATCCCATAGGGTCCCTCAACACCGCCAGGAGTAATTCCTGAGCATCGCTGGGTGTGACCCAAAAAAGGGAAAAAAAAAAGAAACAAAATGAGTTCACTGCATTCAAACGGGCAATAGTTTGTAACCTAAGCACGACCTCCAGGGAAGTGTTTGTGTGCATGGACGGGTGCAGACTCACGCGGTCTTCACAACCACTGAGGTCATTACTGCTTCCCCATGTTGCAAATGAGGACCCGAAGCACTCAGTTCTGGGGGCTGGATTTCTAGAAATAGGCATCTAAAATGGAGGGAGGGGGCAGCTGGAGCAAGTAGTGCAGTGGGGAGGGCACTTGCCTGCACGGTGCTGACCCGGGTTCAATACCCTGGCACCCCATATGATCCCCCAAGTCCCGCCAAGAGTAAACTCTGAGCATTGCTGGGTGTGACCCCACCCAGCCCCAAACAAATAGGAGGGATGGCACAGCAGGAAGGTCGCTTCCCTCACTTGCAGCTGACTGGCACGCAGTTGACCCGGGGTCCGTCCTTGGCACCACATATGGGCCCCTGAACCCACCAGGAGTGATCCCTGAGCGCTGCTGACTGTGACCCCCCCCCCCAAAAAAAAATAACACTGAGGACAAGGCCTTAAGGATGTGCAGCATGGGGTTGGAGAACAGCAAATGAAGAGAATGTGTGTGTGTGTGTGTGTGTGTGTGTGTGTGTGTGTGTGTGTGTGCGCGCGTGGTGGGGGATGACTGGCTCCAGCTCCCACTTTCACCAACACAATTGTCCTCCACAGGCAGCTCTACCTTCGACTCACGCCAGAATGGGACCACTTTCCCTCCACTGCCCCTCTTCCTTTGATCTCCCCCCGCACTGTCCCCCCCCAGGACTGTCCCCCTGCACTGCCCGGCTCCAGCCCCCTCCAGTCCCAGTGGTAGAGCTGGCCTGTCCCGATGCCCAAGTGGCGGGTCCTGGCCCTCCCTTCTCCCATGCTCCTCATCTAGAAGCAGGTGAGCAACGTGGATTCTCTGAGACCCGGAAGTGGGTCCCAAGCCCCCGAGCTTGGTGCTGGTCACACTGGGCATAGGAAGGGGTTGGGCTCCTGGGACCTGCACTCACAGATCGAATCCCGAAGTGAGGGGTGTTCTGGGGCTGAACCACCCACAGCTGCCTCCTGGGAGGGGCGGGGAACCAACGAGCTCCCCTACTTCCTCTGTCTGACCCCACAGAACCTCTGGAGGAGCTGGAGCGATAGCACAGTGGGCAGGGCGTTTGCCTTGCACGCGGCCAACCCAGGTTCGATTCCCAGCATCCCATGGGATCCCCTGAGCACCGCCAGGACTGATTCCTGAGTGCGTGAGCCAGGAGGAACCCCTGTACAGCGCCAGGTGTGACCCAAAAAGCCAAAAAATAAAATAATATTAAATAAATAAACTCTGGAAGCACCTGGAGTTGGCTCCTTCCCTATGAACAGGCCGCTGTGAGGGCCGAGCTGAGCAGGAAACGAGAGTGGACTGGGCATGAGCTGCTGACCACTCAGGCCAGCCCTCCATCCCTCACCGCCCCCCAACTCTAGCTGGCTCCCTCCTCCACATGACTCCCCCTCTGAGAAGGTCCCCCCCCCCCCCCCCCCGCCTTGATCTCCACACCTCTGAGATCTGGGCGTTCAGTCCAGCGGCGGGCAGGGGCTGGGGCTCATCTCCTGCCCAGAAAGCAGCCCTGGCAGCCCCTTTAGTGGGGTCACCACCCCCATTGGACATGATGGCCTCTGGGAGTAGCCAGAGACACAGAGGCCGCCTCCACTGCCTGGGCGTTTCTCCCTTTTCTCATCCACTTTGGCCACAGAAACTGTATAAGCATTTAATCGTTAAAAAAACAAGTGCATGAACAGGAAAGGAATATGAAAATATAATGTCGCTGTGGAAGGTGCGGGTGCCCGGGGGAGCCCCGAGGCTGAGGCTCCTGTGCTCTTTAGAGGAGGGCGGCCTGGGGGGCCAGGAAGGAGGGGAGCCCTCCTGTAGGACCCCCAAGGCGAGGGCTAATTCCAGCTGGCGCCACCCTGCAAACGCCAGCAGAGGGCGGGAGGTGGGTGAACTTGCTGCTTTTCTTCCAAGCTGCCGTCAATGAGGGGACGCTGGGACACGGGCAAGTGTGTATGACATGGCTGGAGACGCTCTCGGGTCCCCCTCACCCCAGAGGTCCGGGGGGGGGGATGTTGTGCAGTGGCAGAACATTCTGGATTCTTGGTCTCTCTCCTCCTTCCCGCCGTCTCCTTCCTGTTACCAAACCCAGTGCACTTGAGTGCTGTGAAATGATCGCCCCTCGAAACGTCTAAAGGACTCCCCTGCCCCGGGCCATTATCTACTGCTCTGATGGGGGGGGTCTCTTCCTGGCTGGAGGGCTTGGGGGTCTTCATTTCCGCCTCCGGCCGACACTCTTCAGCTCATCCAGCTCCTTCTCCATCAGGTGGGATTCGGCTGTGGTCTCTGACAGCTGCATGCAGAGCAGTGACTGTTAGAAGGGTCTTCTCTGGGAGCAGGGGTGCAGCTCAGGGGCACAGCGTGTGTCTCAAGAGTGAAGCTGGAGGGCCGGGGCGATAGCCCAGTTGGGAGGGCGTCTGCCTTGCACGCGGTTGACCTGGGTTCAATTCCCAGCATCCCATATGGTCCCTCCGAGCACTGTCAGGAGTGATTCCTGACTACAGAGCCAGGAGGAGTAACCCCTGAACATTGCCAGGTGTGACCCAAAAAGCAAAACAAAACAAAACAAATAATCCTCTTGGTCACAGTACAGGGGCACCAGCTTTGCATGCAGGGAGCTGGGTTCTCTCCCCAGCACTACATGGTCCCCTGAGCACTGCCGGAAGCGACCACCAAACCCAGCGCAAGGAGCAGCCCCCAAGCACCGTTGGGAACGGTCCAGTCCCCTTTACCCCCAAAACGAATTCCACTCTTCTCATCAGGCTCTACTGTGAGGGGGCAGGGTGGGCGTAATGGGGGGTTGTGGTTTCTGGGTCACAGCTAACAGTGCTCGGGAGTGACTTAGCGATGACTGGGGGGGCCACGTGAGGTCTGCAGCGGACACTGACCAACGGCTGCCGGGCCCGCGGGCTGCCCCACTCAAGGCTCTGGGACCATGCTCACTGTCCACTTCCGGGATGGACTGTGATTCGAGCTGGGCTGCGGCTGACCCCCGCCCAGCGGCACAGGAGCAACGCCCCTGAGGCCACGCCCTCTGAGGCCACGCCCCCGCGGCCGGCCCTCACCATGTCCAGCAGGATGTCCACCTTCAGCCGCAGGAGGTTGTTCTCTTCCTCCAGCTGCTGGTTGCGTCTCCGGAGGCGCTGGGCCTCCCTGCGGTCCACGCCGCTGCTGACCCCCGACTCTGAGGGGAAGCACAGCTCGCTGCATGCGGGGAGGGGTCCCCGGACCCCCCTGTCGCCCCCTCCCCCGGGACGGCACCCACCTGCGATCCACTGGCCATTTTCAAATTTCAGGCTCTGTCCGGCCAGGTTCATGGTGGGGGTCCCATAGTCCAGGCCCAGCTCCGCCTCGCGCGCTGACCGGTCCAGCTGCAGGGGGAGAGCGTGGCCCCTGCTGCTCAGAGCAGACCCAGGGGTGTAACCTTCCTCCGAGAATGTGTTGTTTTGTTGTTTTTTTTTTTTGGGTCGCACCCAGCATTGCACAGGGGTTCCTCCTGGCTCTGCACTCAGGAATTACTCCTGGCGGTGCTCGGGGGACCCTATGGGATGCTGGGGATCGAACCTGAGTCGGCTGCGTGCAAGGCAGACGCCCTCCCTGCTGTGCTATCGCTCCAGCCCGTTTTTTCTATTTTGATTGGGGCTGTTGGGGTGGGCGAAAGCTCGGGCCACACTCAGCAGTGCTCAGGGCCCATTCCTGGCTCTGTGCTCCTGGGTCGTACCTGGCGGCACTTGGAGGCCCTGGAGGTGCTGGGGATCGAACCAGGGCTGGCTCCAAGCAGAGTCAATACAGGCTTCATGTCTGTACTATTCCTCTGGCCCGGGTTAGGGATATTTTATATATCTACTTTCTTGGTCACACCCGGCGATGCTCAGGGGTCCCTCCTGGCTCTGCACTCAGGAATTACTCCCGGGGGTGCTCGGGGACCCTATGGGATGCTGGGAATCGAAGCTGGGTCGGCCCCAGGCAAGGCAAGCGCCTGACCTACTGGACCATCACTCCAACCCCCAGTACCTTTTTTTTTTTTTTTGGCTTTTTGGGTCACACCCAGCGATGCTCAGGGTTTATTCCTGGCTCTGCACTCAGGAATTACTCCTGGCGATGCTTGGGGGACCACCATATGGGATGCCGGGGATCAAACCCAGGTTGGCCGCGTGCAAGGCAAATGCCCTACCCACTATGCTATCGCTCTGCGCCCCCCCCCCGTACCTTTTTAATAAAGTGACGATTTCCTTTAAAATGTGATAAGCCCAAGGTTATTTGCTCATTGTGGAACTTCACGTGTCAGGGCAACAGCGGACATAGATATGCAGGCACGAAAGCACATGCAATGTGGGGGGGGCTAGTACTGGGTGTGGTGTGTGCATATGGTGTGAGTAGCGTGTGTGCATGTGATGTGGTGTGTGTGCATGTGGTGTGTGTTTGGTGTGTGTGTGGTGTGAGTGGTGTGTGGGTGTGGTATGTGCGTGTGTGTTGTGGTATGTGCATGTGATGTGTGGTATGTGTGGTGTATGTGATGTGTGTGGTGTGTGTATGTGTGTGTGGTGTATGTGTGGTATGTGCGTGTGGTGTGGCATGTGTGGGGTGTGTGTGCATGTGGTGTGTGGTGTGTGTGTGTGGCATGTATGTGGTGTGTGTGGGGGGGTGTGTGTGTGCGTGTGGCGTGTGTGGTGTGTGTGGTGTATGTGTGTGGTGTGTGTGCGTACGGTGTGAGTGGTATGTGTACATGTGGTGTGGTGTGTGGTGTGAGTGGTGTGGGGGTATGGTGTGTGTATGTGCGTGTGTGGTGTATGTGTTGTGCGTGTGTGCGTGTGTGCGTGTGTGCGCATGTGCAGGAAGCAGTCTCCCCGCTGTTCGGCAGCTCCCACCCGCAGCAGTGCTTGCTTTGCAGGGCAGCTGAGTCCCACCCACTGCAGGACCCTGTCCCTCCCCACCCCCCCAGGGAACACACTGCCAGAGCCCAGGGACCTTCTCTCTGCCTCTTGCCCGGCCCTGGCTGGCACCACTGCAGGCAGGGGGGAACCCCAGTGCCGGCCCCGCCCCCCCACACTCACTCACGTTGTGCAGGTTGGAGAGCGAGGCGGACTTCCGCGGGGGCGTCTTCTTGGGGCTGAACGTGTTCCCGAAGAGAGGCATGGTGGGCGCCCTCAGTCTGCGCTCCGGGAGAGGGGGGCCTCTGCGGGGTCAGCCCGATGCCCCTCGCCGGGGGCGGCCAGCGCCGCTTCTCGGCTGCCCTGGGAGAGACCCAGCGTGTTCGGGGTGCGGCGAGCCTAGACTCCGGGCGCCCAAGCCCGTCAGCCGGGAACCCGACCCTCCCCCCTGGACAGAGGTTTACCAAGGCCGAGGTCAGGCTGCTGTGCGCGGCCCTCAGCGCTAGCCAACCCTGCGCACCGCTCAGACACGGCTCTGAGCAGAGTGCATTTCATTTCTTCTTTTATTTTTTTGATTTTTGGATCACACCCAGCGATGCTCAGGGGTTGCTCCTGGCTCTGAACTCAGGCATTACTCCTGGTGGTGCTCTGGGGACCATATGGGATGCTGGGGATCGAACCTGGGTCAGCCGAATTTAATTCTGTAAATTCGGCGAGGCAAACGTCCTACCCAATGTACTATAGCTCCAGCCCCTCATTTATCTTTTTATTGGTTTGCATGTGCGTGTGTGTGGTGGGGGGTGCGGTTGGGCCACATCCATTAATGCTCACAGCTACTCCCAGCTCTGTGCTCAAGGTTCACTCCTGGTGGTGCTCAGGAGACACTAGGCGGTGCTGGGATCTAAATCCGAGTCGGCTGCGAGCACCTGAACCTCTGTACTAGCGTGCCAGTCCCGCACACGGTCCGTTTTAAAGGAAGGCACTGTGTTAGCCTTGCAGTGTTCTGCAGTTCCAGGAGGCCTGGTGAGATGCATGACTCAGATCACCGATTTTGGGGTGGCTGAGGGAGGCAGAATTAACCATTTTTACTTAAGTATATAATGGTTAGAGCCCAGGCTAAGGCTCAGAGGGAGAGCTCTCTCCTGCTCTGCTCTGGGTTAAATTCCCACACTGGAAAAAAAAAAAAGTATAGCCAGGAACAAGCCCTGTGCACTGCCAGATGTGGCCCTCCCAAAAAAAACTAAAACTAAAATTGCATGTGTCAATGCATTTGGGGGTGGGTGGGAGGGAACTTGGGGACCGTTGTAGAGGGGAGATGACAGTGGTGGTGGGTTTGGCTGAAGAACGTTACATGTCTAAAACTCTGTAATTCTGTAAATCATAGTTCTTTATTTTCTTTATTTTGTGATTCACAAAGTTATTGATAATTGAGTTTTAGGCATGTAATATTTCAACAGCAATCCCACCCAACCAGGGTCGGCTTCCGTCCACAAATTCCCTTCCCCACCCCCACCCTGCTTGACAATTTGCCAGGTTCATTACCAAGTTCAGTGGTTCCAACTGGGATCTCATGTTTTCATTATTTTTTTTTCTTTTTGGGTCACACCCAGCGATGCACAGGGGTTACTCCTGGCGGTGCTTGGGGGAACCCTATGGGATTCCGGGGATCGAACCCGGGTTGGTGGTGTGCAAGGAGAACACCCTTACCTGCTGTCCTATCGCTCGGGTCCCCACGTCTTCAATGTTGAGTCTGTGTGTGGGATACGGGACTGGACCACTCTCCCACGGCACGGGTATAACTAAAACCCTGGTGGCCTTTCCTTTTCAACCATCACTTCCATTTCTCTTCTTCCTCTCTGGATTTCTTTCCTTCTCGGTGGTTCTAAACACTGGGGTCAAGGGTGATCTAGGCACCCCTCCCCCCCTTCTTACATACATTCCCTCATCCGGTATTCTATATCCCACAGAGAAGTGAGATCATCCTGAATCACGGCGCTTTAATAAAATAAAACAAGCCAAAAATATGGTGACATCGAGGGGCCAGAGAGATCATAGCCTGGGGCTGGAGCGATAGCACAGCGGGTAGGGGGTAGGGCGTTTGCCTTGCACAGGGCTGACCCGGGTTCGATTCCCAGCGTACCATATGGTCCCCTGAGCACCGCCAGGAGTAATTCCTGAGTGCATGAGCCAGGAGTAACCCCTGAGCATCGCTGGGTGTGACCCAAAAAGCAAAAAAAAAAGAGATCATAAAGAGATCATAGACCAACGGTGCAGAATTCAGCCCTGGCGACTTGGTGACTCCCACCCCCTGTGGAGAGTGACCCGCACCCCACCCCCCACGCACCACGCCCCGCAGTAGTCCCGCAGGGTGTGGCCCTAAGGCAAGCAAACAATCAGACAAAAAAAGCGGGGGCGAGCTCTCACCCCCCAGCCCCGGAGGTCTAGCTCAGGGCGGTCCCAGCGCAAGGATCGAGGTGCAGCGAGCGCCCCAGTCGGGACCTCAGTGGCGGGGCGCTGGCGACAGTCGTTCATTCCCCGCCCAGGTCTCCCGGAAAGGTCGTCAGCAAAGCAGGTGAGACTTGGGCTCCCCGAATTCTGGCAGGGGCTGTGCGTGCCGGGGGCCACCCAGGGCGGCTGGCCGTCCCTAAGGCGGGGGACGAGCGTTTCCTCGCACTCCCTCGCTCAGTGCTCAGTGCGGGGTTGGAAGCGCCAACTGACAGTTGGGTGGGGGGGAAACCCAATTCCAGGAGGGCTGCACCGCCCCCCGGATCCCATCAGCAACGCGGAGACCCCGGGGATCTCCGAGTGTCCCGCCGCTCCCGCTGAGACCAGAGACTTACCCCGCGAACCCCAGAAACCAGGGCGCAAAATGCACCCCGAGATCTCCCGCCCGCCGGGGTCCAGGAGCGCATTCGCCGTCGTCCCGGGGTGCCCGCGGCCCCTGCGCGCAGGCGCGGCCCCGCCCTCGGTCGTGCCACCCGTGGGTGCGGGGGGCGCCGGTGCACCGGGGACCCCCCCAGGAGAGTCCCGCGGGACGCCAGGAGCCCAGGGGGGACGCTTCGGTGGGCTGAATGAATAGGCTGCAGGGAGGGGTCGAACCCCGGAGCCGCGCCGCGCCCCTCCGGGCGACGGGGTCCCCCCTGCGCCGCGCAGCGGTCCTGTCTCCCGGCGTCCGGGCGTTGCCGTGGAAACCGCGTCCCGGGACAGCCGCGCAGCATCGCGCCGGCGCCTTTGTTGCCGCTAAGGTGAAGCGCGCAGCGCGGCTCGTTCCCCGAACCCAGGCCTGGGCTGGACGCGCCAAAATGAGCCTCTCCCCGCTGCCGGCCCCTCGCTCTTCTTCCTCCTCCTCTTTTCCGACCACAAACTCAAGGACACCTCTTCCTGGCGGTGGTGGGAGTCACTGTGTCGGGGCGGAGGGGGGGACTCCTCAAAACTTTGCAGCGTCCCCCCCAATCAAAGGCCCTGAGTTTCTCCGAAGATTTCTCCTGTGCCTGCCAGGTACGGTGCAGGGTGCTCCGAGCGACTCTCGCGGGCATCTGCGAGCAGGGGAAACTGAGGGCACAGCTTCGGGAAGGCAGGGCGAGGAGCAGAGAGACCCAGCTCCTCCCGGCTCAGAGCCGAGGCGAAAGACACTCAAGCGATGTTTTCTGCCTGCTCCATCCACTGAGCAACCTGACCAGTTCTGTGCTCTGCGTGCGGAATCCTCATCTGACCCAGCCTCGTCTAGCGGCAAACCTAAAGTAGTTTAGAATTCTCCCGTAAGCAGGGTTAAAAAGGTACACGGGCGAGTTGGAGCGGTTGTGCAGTGGCTGGGGCGTTTGCCTTGCATGCAGCCGAACCAGGTTCGATTCCCAGCATCCCATATGGTTCCCCCGAGCACTGCCGGGAGTAATTCCTGAGTGCAGAGCCAGGAGTAAGCCCTGTGCCTCGCTGGGTGAGACCCAAAAAGCAAAAAGTTAAATTAAAAGGTACACGGGCCAGAGAGAGAATACGGAAGGCATGACACTTGCATGCTGGCAACCAGGGCTCATCTCTGAGCCCTCTGGGCTCCGTCGGCACAAAACAGGGGCCACTCCTGAGCACAGAATCAGGAGTCATCCCTGAGCCCTGCTGTATGTGACCTTCCAAAACCCTCCAAAACTTAAAAAAAAATGTCAACTAGCTTATAATTAATTGGCACTCCCTCGCTCAGTGCTCAGTGCGGGGTTGGAAGCGCCAACTGACAGTCGGGTAGGGGGGGAAACCCAATTCCAGGAGGGCTGCACTTTCTTTAAAGTCATGTGCTCCAAATCTTATTATTTCTTTTTGGGTCACACATGGCAGTGCTCAGGAATTACTCCTGGCAGTGTTCAGGTGACCATATGTGATGGCAGGGATCAAACCCTGGTTGACTGCATGCAAGGCAAATGCCCTCCCCATTGTACTATCACTCTGGCCCTATAATTAACATTTAAAATTTTTAATTCTCTGAGCCAAATTCCTCATTTTCTAGTTTTTTTTTTTTCCCTGAGGGGACTGGTCAAGCTGTCACTTTTGATGATGTTTGGTGATGTTTGGCCACCCCAGCTGGTCTGTTTAAGGAACCATCAGTACCACAGCCAGCAGCGCCTGGGACCTGCCTGGTGTCTGAGCCATACAGAACCCCTCAGCCCTGTGCTCTCTCTCTGGTCCACTCACCTCTCTTTTTTGTTTTATTTTGTTGCTTTGGGGCAATGCTCAGGCAATGCTCAGGGGTTATTCCGGGCCCCACACTCAGGGATCACTCCTGGCAGCACTCGGTGGTGGTTGGAGGGGTCATATGGGATACCAGAGATTAAACTCAGGTTGGCTGCATGCAAAGCAAATGCCTTCCGGGGCTGGAGCGATAGCACAGCGGGTAGGGCGTTTGCCTTGCAGGCGGCCGACCCGGGTTCGATTCCCAGCATCCCATATGGTCCCCCAAGCACCGCCAGGAGTGATTCCTGAGTGCAGAGCCAGGAGTAACCCCTGAGCATTGCTTGGTGTGACCCCAAAAAGTGGGGAAAAAAGAACAAAGCAAACGCCTTCCCTGCCATAACTATCTCTGCTCCCCCTCCCTTTTTGAAGGTGGAGGTCGAGACCCAGGGAGGGCCTCACACATGCGAGGCAGATGTTCTCCCCTAAGTTGTGACATGCCCTGCCAACACCTTTGAAGACATTTCTCCTCGGAGACCTAGCGTGCCCCTCTTCCTAAGGCAGATGTCAGAACGCTAAGCCGAAGCCTGCGGCCCCCAACCTGGCAGAGCTAGGGAGTG